CAAAATTTTTAAAGTAATAGATTGTTAAGTATTAAATTATGTTTTAATAAATTTTAATTAATTATGGAAAATTTAACTTTTTGAAGAAATTAATTTTGATTTATCATATAAATATTTAATTATACCCTTCTTTATGAATGGACATTAAATTTAAATACTTATTTATATGAGTAGGTTTTCTGTAGACACTCCTTTCATAAGTATTATCAATTTTTTAAATGAATACACCCGAGAATGGTAATTTACTTTCTTCTTCTATTTCTCAAGCAAATTTTCTAGATTTTTATTTTTTAGAAATGCATTCAAATCGCAAATAGCAAATATATCGTCTCCATATCCAAATAATAGGTTTTTACCACATTTTTTACATTTGCTGACTGATGAGGACATGTTTTTTAGAAACGTATTATTTTTAGTACCATATTAATTAATCAATTGAGAGCCATATGCAATATTCTGATTTTCATGTACAGAAGCCTCTATTTGTATGCACAGATATTTTAGATATCGATTCCGCTAGTTGTTGGCCAAAATCGATTCTAATTTTAAATAGGTACCATGCACATGTAATATTTTTTTCACCTACTGAACTCGATTCAAATGTAGTTTCGATTAAACTTTCAATCCAATCAAATTTGGTTTGGACTGAAAACTAAATGTTTTGATAAATTTATTTAGCAAACAAGTAAAGATAACACACAAATTTTTTGCTAAATCGCTTCCTAAACATTTGCTCAGGCCAATAAACCAAAACATTACACCTAGAGTAACGTTCCACTGGAATATTCAAATCTAACCTAGTGAAAGTCGCTTTATCTTAGTTTGCATTACTGCAAGGCAATCGCAAAATAATCATTGTCGTGACATAAACACGTGTTGTTATTTTACATCCTGTGGGAATGTATTGACGAAATAATAGAATATTTTACTTACCAAATCAGTTAGACCCTGCTTTGGTCTCTAGTCGCATTGCGGCTGACTTGTGGAGCAACAGAAAACTGCTCGATTGTAAAAGCATGAACCACATGCAGTACGAAGCACTGTGTTATGGGCCACCTCTTGCTACGTTCTATTCTCCTGATGCCTAGATGAAGAGCAATTTTGAAACTGAAAGTAAACAATCGCGTTTCTGGTCTATTGGTGTGGACTCCAAGTCCGCTTCACCAATCTAAAAAAATGAGATGTGAATGAGAAGTCGATAATACTATTAAAATTATGTGTTAGTACTAAGCTCAGTTAACTGGTAGAACTTTCTACATTACAGTATTATTGCAGGCTGGGCTTATATAGCACATTTGTGCGGAATTATGTGTTACTGCAGTTGCTGTAAAGTGAATGTTTTTAATTTAACAATTATGGCTAGTTATATTATAGAGCTTAAAATAAATTTAAAACTAGACAGTACCTAAATATTTGTTTTAGGAAAATATGTTTTATATTTCCCTCACTTGAAGGATTTAAAATATGCATATACGAGTAGTTTTATAATATTTAATATAATAGTTATCACACGTTTCTAAAAGTCAAGGCTTTAATAATTAAAAATAATCCACAAAATATCACTTTTCCAGGCTAGACTGCACAATTAATTGTCATGGAAAGAATCCCTTCACTGTATTTATATTGTACATATGTATATATTCTCTTCAAAACAACAATCCTAATAAAACAAACCTTCATTAGAAAATTAATTAGATTAAACGATTTGTCCAACTTTGTCATTCCAAGAATGCCACCTAATAATTTACAATTTAACTACTATAATGCTTTATAAGTAAACGTACAGATTTATCCATCAAAGACTTAATTATTTTGCGTAGTTGTTACTTGAGAAAAATGTCAGGTGTAAGCAAATTCTTTTATGTATTTTCCGCTTTTTTGTACCAAGTAAGCAAAATATGGTTTAATTGTTTAATATTTATAAACTTGAACATATTATAAAATGCGATCAGATAACTTAACTATTATGTAATTTTAAAAATCATGTTTTAATTCAATGATAAAATAACGTGCTTGAGGTCTTAAATATTTTAAAATATATTTATAGTTAAGTAAACTATAGATATAATTTATATAGTAAATTAATCCTGTAGTTTTTTACTTTTTTTGTTCTGTTCAGTGTCGTACTTTTAATATTAAGAGCTACAGTATATTTTAGGATATCAGGACATTAGTATTCTTTTAACTTGCGGTTTTCTGAATATTAAATATTAGTACTAAACAGTACAGTTATACAATTTATTTTTTATTTAACATGAACTTTATTAACACAAAATATTGACTATTTTAACATTATAAGAAAACGAAAATATTTAAAATAAATGTTCAAATTGGAGACAGCAGCCCAACAATATGCTAATCAATCAGCGAATGTTCTTAAGGCTTGGATTTTATAGTCAGCAAATCGCATTTTTAATAAAACAATAATGGAACAAGTAGGTCCATCCAGGAAGTGACGAAGTGTAACGATAAATTAGAGCAATTTCTTTTAATTTTTCGCATTGAAACATCATGGAGAACATGTAAACATCAGAAAATGTACCTTTCCTGTTTTGTCCAGCAAAGTAAAGATGCTCAATAATTGTGAATAATGCATGTGTTAATAGCTTCCTAAAAGCATTTTGCGGGGTGTAATATGTTTATAGTATAGTCTTTCCGAAGTCAGTTGAACATGTAAAAAAACGCCTGGCAATAAAATTTAACGAATTTCATAGACGTCCCTAAAAAAATTTTCTGCTAAAGGTAAGAAATTATAATAATTTGTATATAATGTGTAGAAAATTTCTATAATATGTTCATTTGGCCAACAACATTTATGTCCTCAAACAATTTTATTATATTGATGGTAAATTTCGTTTTGTTCCATTTCAAAAGGCCTCCAAAATGCCATGTTGTAATAATATTAGTAAACAAAATATTCCACTTAGTTCTCCCTTTCGCAATTGTAATATGAATGATTAATAGAAGGCGCCTATAATAAATTAAAATTACCTGAATCACAACAAATTCCGCATTGCTGCACTGCACTGCTGGGAAATTTGTCAACCACTTGTCAACTGCTGAGATTTATTGCCCAGTAGCCCAATACAGCTGTTTGGATTCCGTTTGGCCGCGCTAGTATTCTTCAACTGGGCGAATACATTTCTACCACGTTAAGTTCAATCAGACCTGTATGTGGGTATAGCCATACCCAAACATGGGAACAAGTTTTTCAAATATTTCAATGCCGAGTTGCTGCGTCAGCGACCGAACCTGATCCATACAGGCAACCTTTTGATTCTTCAATTAATATCGGAAAGACTTTTTCTTATAACGTGCCCTTCTTTCTACAGGGTAGGAAAGTATCGATGGTAATAAGATCCACTTCTTATTTGTGGAAGGGCGAAATGGGCGGTGACTATTAGACGCCTTCACTATACCCATCCTTGTCTATCACATGGATTTCTATGGCTTACTTTATCGCTCTCACGTAACTTCAGATAGACCATCGGTACTTTCCTACCCTGTATATGTTCAACAGGCGTGGAAAATTCAGGAAACTTAAGATAGAACATTTTTCCTTATTGTAAATGTATTGTCGGTTGTCTCATACCCTGAAGAAAGCTTATATACCTGATATAGTAAAGATATATTGTTTCTAACTTGCTTAGATTTTCAAAAAAGCTGAACAAAGCATTGCGCATATTAAGGAGTTTTACAGAACGCGTTGCGTTATTTTCTGAACAACCACTTTAATTCGAACTTCCAACTGTTCTAACAATTAAAGTTTGGTCTTCAGTAATCGATTGTAAAAGCCTTCAAAGAAAATAGTCTGAAGGATTTAAATCTGGTGATCGTGCAGTATTGACAGTTATGTCGATTTACAAAACCACTTGGACAAAATGTCGATTCATAGAAAAATATGATATTATTGAAAAAGTTATCATTACCCTCAACTGCAGCCTTCTGAATTATTTTTATTTAAGTCTTGTACTAAGTGTATTTTATACGGATGAATTATTTTGGACGATATTATATTACTAATATCTCGCTAATATTGTGAAATAAGGCTAGTTTTGTCACTGAGGATTTTATTTCTTCTTGCAAATTGAGAACAAGCAGCAACATCTTCGTTAGATCGGCCAAATTTTGACTTCTATTTAATAATGATTTAATTTAAATGGAATTTATCTGATAGTGACCCCATTTCAAGTAAGAATATAATGTTTTGTTGCTTATTAAATGAATGAGCAACAACATTGCAACGAAAAACAATCATTTGGGAGGCAATCGTGTAGTGATAAATTAAAATGTAAAAGTTTTATGGAACTTATAGTTCACCCTGGAACAGGTTTTAACACACTATTTAAAAAGCTGTACTTTTATCTAAAATAGAAATAATTTTAAATATTAGTGACATCTACAATTAAGTAGATAACACATATTTTTCGTTCATCGCAATTATTGATTAATTAACTTTTTCATTTTATTGATGGATTAATATAATGCTTACAATTTTCTAACTCTAATATTGTATTTTAATTGATGAAAATCCGTAAGATGGCGCAGCAAGTCTCTAAAGTTTACTGCGGATAAGTTTCTAGTACGAACTTCTAGATGTCTCCCTAATATTGATATACGTATATTACTTTCACTAAAGTTTTTCCATCTTCTGTCTATCAAATTTACAATTATTCTAATTTGTATGTTATTAATTGCATAGCATATATGTATGTAGAAATGTTTTCTAATAAAATCAGGAATTTTTTTAGCTTTATTAGAAATGGGCCCGCTTCAAATAGTTAAGGCCAAAGTAATTGAAATTTAACAGACATTCATTAAGTGGCGTTGTCTGCTGTATTAAATTTAATGCGTTACCTTGAATTTGGCTTTGTCATAATGTTTATTTTAAACATATTCGAGCATACTATTATTATATTCTCTTTCTTTTAACTACATCTATACCGTGATTTTTTTTATATATTATTGGTCTTTGAGGGTAATAATAATCAAATACCAAATAGATTAGTTTGTCTTTTATTATTCTATTTATTAAAGAAACTATAGATAGGTATCTAAATCAATATTGTAGCCTACATGTTTTTACATTTAATTCTTCTTCAGCTTGGTTTTATTCAGTCTTTTACGATAAAAGTAAGTACACGTTACCTTTATTAATATCACAGTTGTAAGAATAACACCAATGATAAATGCAAGGACGTCCAGCAAATAGAACTGATACCAGGTAAGTTCTAGGTAAGGTACTCTTAGATGCTTAGCACCATTATGACGTATCACGTATTCCACCCAGTATACTGCATTGTCCATTGGTTTCACTTGCCTGTCTTTCATGATTATTGATCGTTCCTTGACATTATTGGTATACCTATAAATATACATATGGTATTAGAATACTTCTGTTTATTCATATCAGTCATATAACTCGTCATATTTAGTCAGTTCCGGATACACTTTTGTGTAGTAACACTTACTGAGGATTTGCCAAAACTTCATCTAGAAGTCCCGATAGCTTTTCCTCAGAAATTTCCCTCAATGGGAGGACGATACCATAACCCTGTCTTTCCGCACCGTAAGCGTTCATTTTCTGGTCTCCTCCAATTGGAATAGCAATAATTGGTACGCCATGGTAGACCGTTTCTATTGTACTGAGAAGCCCTCCATGCGTAATGAATAGTTTTACATTTGCATGAGCTAAGAAAAATAAGACTGGATTAATCGTATTCTCAAAATATTGTCTGTAACACTTACCCAAAATGTCCTGTTGCGGTAACCACTTTCCCACTTTGACGTTAGGTGGTTTGCCCGGCAGCACATCATCTTCCCACTTCCACAGTATCTTTTCCTTTCTTTTACCAAAAGCCTTTAAAATCGCTTCTCTCGTTTCGATTGGTAGGTCCTGACTTTTCAAATTGGAGCCCATACTGAAATAAATTACTCCTTCTTTCGCTTCGTCCAAAAATTTTTGTAGGTCATCAGGCAACTTCTTTGGTGGTTGTATGTGATATCCACCAATTTCAACCATACAAGGGACATGTGGTTGAGCGGAGGAAATACTTTCGTGAGAATTTAAGAGCACTAGAGACACGTTATACAACAGGTCGTCAATATTCACAGGATTTGGGAAGTATTTCTGGATGAACTCATTATGTTTTGGATAAATGTATAAGTTGTAGTACAAAGTATTTGCTAATTTGAAAATGGTGTTTTCTAATCTCTGCATAAAGGACATCTTTTCGGGGAAACTTAGTAATATTTCCGGAAAAAATGAAGGAAGTGATGGATTTCCCACAAAATGATTCAGCCAAGAGTTCGCCGCAACGTTGCTAAACAGAATCAAGTGTGCGTTGAAATGGCTCGCAAACGCTTTCATTGCTTCAACATTAAATTGAGTAATGATAACCGCGTCGAATTTTTGATTACTTTTTAACAACTCCTGGATTTTGTTATTTTTAAGAGTCTCTTCTGTTATTAGATTTGTTAATGTTTCTATCAAAAATGTTGTAGATATTCCGCTGGATATTCCACTAAGTCCTTCCATTTTGAATAAGTCTGGTTTGGGAAAAGATTCTACAAAAAATTGCATTCCATTATTGGGCAGTTACTGTTAAAGGATCAATCCTAATCTATGAAGTGCTACATAATTTCTCTTCTGTCCTTCATAAACCGTTTTGAATTTGCGTATATAAACTTTTGTTCTAACTAAAAAAATATTATATACTTACTCATTACAGCTTCCAAAGTATTCTCGACTATAATTTCGGTCCATTTTCCGCCTTTTGGAGGGTTCTTTTCTTTGAAAGGGCTGATGATGGTAACGTCATGACCAGCTTCGGCGAGGCCTTTCATCAATGTACTTCCTAATATATAATGACTTGGAGCAAAGAAAGGAAAGACGCCAAGAATTCTAGCACCTTCATTTTTACCTATAATTGTTAAAAAGAGCACTAAAAAACTAAAGAAACCTATTCGCGCACTCATGTTGACAATATATGTTTTGACGATTGCTACTTCCACATTATATAAACGTCGCTGACGTAAGATAAGACCGCATCTAGAAACAGATTGATAGCGGCAAGTAGAGCAATTTCGCAATATTAGGTAGGTCTGAAATTTAAAATATGTATGTTCAATGTTCATAATAAGTGTAATCTAGGATTATTTACAGGGCATATCAGGTTTTATTCCGATAACTTCAGGAACATGTAGAACAAGTGAATATATTTCCAATGCCAAGAAAGTTTTTTGTCTCCTCTGATATTTTGATATACAGGGCGTTTCCTAAGTACGGTCCGTAACTTCAGGACACAACTTTTTATGGTATTTAAGGAAAAAAGTTCCTATAAACATATAACCGGAAACGCTTAGAATCCGAGATACAGGATGTTGAAAATTAAAAAAATATAGTGATGTAAAATAGCATGCTATTTATTTTTGGGTGATATATATCAAAGTATATATCAATATACAGGGTGTCTCGCATTTAAATAGCAGGACTTCAGGAATCAGTAGAAGACCTCATTTTGAGTCTAAAAGTTCCTATATATATGGGTCCTAAAACGCTTTGTTTCTGAGATACAGGGCGTTCAATTTTATTTTTGTTTTATTTATTTATTTTTTAACTAAATAACCGCTGACAAAAAAAATCATCATGTTGCGGCGAAAGACTTAGTATTTAAGGGCAAATAATTTGACACAGAAAATCATCGCATATTAGTTCCAGTGGTGGAGATAGAGGGGTCTCTATGCATATTTTTATAAAAAAAAGTATAGCCGATTTGATATTTTCCAAATGTTTTCGAAAAATATGAAAGAGCATTCAATTTTACCCAGAAAAGGCCCTCTTGTCCAAAGTCGATAGGAGGTGGCGTTTTCAAGAAAAACCGAAAATACTGTTTAGAAGTCGAATTAAGAAAAACCGAAAATACTGTTTAGAAATCAAATCAGACTTGAAATGTCATTCTAATATTGACATTTGCGCTTATTTTATTATAGTTTCTAATTGTGTGTAGAGTATTAAAAAAAATTGCAACAAATTCAAAATGCCGTTTAAGTTTACGAACCAAGAATACGCAGATATTCACTTCGTATACGGGTTTGCCAATGGGAACTCGGCAGAAGCTGCTAGGGAATATCGGAGACGATTTCCTAATAGAAGACAGCCGCATCCACACGTTTTTATTAATATTCATCAACGTTTCGCTAATGACGGATTGAATCTGGTCCATAGGGATCGCAACATAATTAACGTTAATATTGGCAGAAATAGGAGGAATCAGCGAATCTTGCACGAATTTGACAGAGATCCCACGACGAGTACCAGAAAAATTTCCAGGATTATTGGTGTTTCCAGGTGCACTATTTCTAGAACATTAAGACGAGATCATAGACATCCCTACCACTTACAACCTGTTCAGGGTTTACGTCCGGGTGACGAGGAACATAGAATAGCTTTTTCTCGGTGGATTCTTAACTCAATTGAAAACGACGGAAATTTTTTATCACACATATTATGGACCGACGAGTCATGTTTTACTCGTCGAGGTGTGACAAATTTACACAATCAGCATGAGTGGGCACATGAAAACCCGCATGCAATCAGACCACGAAATTTTCAGCACGAATTTAGTGTTAATATTTGGCTCGGCGTTTATAACAATTGTCTTTTCGGCCCTTACATCTTACCTCAACGACTGAATTCTGCGAATTTCTTAGAGTTCTTAGAGACCGAGAGTGCCAACATGTGGGAGGAAATTCCTCTGAATTTAAGAATGCGAGCATGGTTTCAACTTGATGGCTGTCCAGCTCATTTTGGCCGAAATGTCAGGAACTGGTTGAACACCCACTTTCCCGAAAAATGGATTGGCCGCGGGGGTATCGTTGCATGGCCTCCCCGATCCCCTGATCTGACACCCCTAGATTTTTTCCTCTGGGGTTTTATTAAAGAGAGAGTTTATACCACTACTGTGGACACAAGGGATGAACTTATTCGTCGGATTCGGAACGCATGCAGTGAAATCAGAGACAATAACTTAATTCAAATGAGACGTTCTATTCAGCGTCGGTGTCAGTTATGTATCGAAGAAAATGGTTTACATTTCGAACATTTGCTTTGATGTAATATGGTTTTCGTTATTTATTTTTGTATTTATTTTCATTTAATTAATTAAAAACAATTTTAACCGAATTTTTGAACTACATATTTAATTTAGTTGTAACACAATGTTTAAAAATTATTATTTGACTTCTAAACAGTATTTTCGGTTTTTCTTGAAAACGCCACCTCCTATCGACTTTGGACAAGAGGGCCTTTTCTGGGTAAAATTGAATGCTCTTTCATATTTTTCGAAAACATTTGCAAAATATCAAATCGGCTATACTTTTTTTTATAAAAATATGCATAGAGACCCCTCTATCTCCACCACTGGAACTAATATGCGATGATTTTCTGTGTCAAATTATTTGCCCTTAAATACTAAGTCTTTCGCCGCAACATGATGATTTTTTTTGTCAGCGGTTATTTAGTTAAAAAATAAATAAATAAAACAAAAATAAAATTGAACGCCCTGTATCTCAGAAACGAAGCGTTTTAGGACCCATATATATAGGAACTTTTAGACTCAAAATGAGGTCTTCTACTGATTCCTGAAGTCCTGCTATTTAAATGTGAGACACCCTGTATATATCAGATGAATTTTGTTAAAAACAAACTATACTAAAATTAGTTTTTTTATATTGCTAATGCCTTGCTGATTATTTTGACACCAAATACATGTCATTTATATGAACTGTTAGAAAAGTTATCAAGTGATCTTTATTTTTTTCATATTTAGATTGGAATTTTTTATTTTTTTTATCATATTTACATTAAGACACCTTATAGTAAAAGTAATAATCTATTTGAAATGGGTTGTTGTTTTAATTAATAAATTCATTATAATTATGATGATTATGACTTCTAATTTTTGTTGTGTACTTAATATAATACAATGACTGTTTATAAGCAATTTAGTTTTACCTACCTACAAATAAAAAATGGGAAGTTTCTAGAACAAGAAAATTTAGTATGTATATCACAATACTTAAAAAAAATTAAAGATATAAAAATTGAAATAAAAATTATCAAAAACTTATGATAATAAAGAAACTGCTTTAAAGTAGTACCTACTTACTTAAGGATGGGAAGATAAATATATAAAAACTTAAAAAACAAAATAAACTTTACTCACATTCAACACTTAACAGAAAGTATGGAAATAAATAAAACTAATAATAAACATATTTTGTTTTCCAATATGAAAAAATAAAAAATATAGTAAATCAAATTAAGACATGGATAAATCATTGGTCTTTTTCTGTAGTAAGTCTTCCAAGTACAAAAAACTTGCCTGGCACGTACATAATTCTATCCTGTTCATTAGTGTCAGTGCCAATTACTGGGTCTTCCTCATTCTGTCCACTAATTATATTTAATTCATTTACCATATCCATATTTTGGTCATCTTCATCAATGGTCTTTTCATTTGCTTCTTCTAAACCTTGCTCATTATTTTCAGAAAAAGTTCTCTGATTATTTTCAATATCAAATTCTTCGATGCATTCATTTTCTAGATCTATCTCTTCTGCCATTTCTTCGTCAATACTGTCTTCGCCATTAATATCATCAATTTGTTCATCATCAGTCTCATCATATATTATCAAGTCACTGTCCTCACTTGCTGTACTTTCGCCCATTGCAATTTCTTCATCACTCTTAACTTCAGTTTCTTTTCCGGTAAGTAAATCGGTTTGTTGGAAATCTTCGTCATTTAATAACTGCAAATTGTATTTTACTGTTATTAACTTATTTGTTCTTTCTATGGTCAATCGATTTCGCTTTTTAGTTTTAGTCAAAGAGTACGTTTTCCAGTTGCGCTCACAACTAGCTGATGTTGGAGGGAAATTTAGTATTCTTGTGGCTACCTTTGACAACTCATAATTCTGGAAAAAACCCTTCCACCATATAGTAGGATTCGTACTGTTGGCAGCTCGCCAAATATTTGAATTACTAAATGGCCCTGCTCGGGCTTTATAATTTGCCAAATCTGACAGTATTTTGTCCATATCGTAGTTCCGGATAGAAGCAAACTCAGCTATGAAATTCAAAGCTATATTCATATCATCTTCAGTCATTCTGTTACCTATTTCTTTCGGGTCCAAAAGATAAGCCGCTAATTGGACTGGGTGAAAAATAAAGGATTTTCTGTGTTCAAATATTTCTTTAGCCTTAATTATCTCTACATTATTTAGGAAATCCAACTTATCACAAAATAAGTCATCCAGTACTTTTATGTGGGAATATACTTTAGATAATAAAGAAGTATCTCCTTCCAGTGCCTTTATTACATCTGCAATTGGTTTAGTAAATTCCGTAATAAATTTTACCTTAGGCCAAAACTCGTCCTCGTCTAAAATGTATCTACGAATTCGTGCGTCCACTATTGGACGAATATATTTATGCAACACAGCTTTTTGAAGAAAATCTTTGTTCTTTAAAACACTTACAAAAGATTGCACCATTGAGCCCCATCTGGTCTCAACATACGTTATTAGAGCAATTTCTTTATTACCATTATCGGTTAAATGAATTTCTTTTAAAACTTGCTTTGCCATATGCTTATTTTTGAAAAATTTTATAATATCTTTTATAGATGCAGTACATTTTGAAACTGAGGGCAGGCTGTAAAGATCTTTAAGGAGAAGGTTAATTCCATGAGCAATACATCCATAGGTTACTAAGTGTGGGTGTTTTTCTTTTAATAAACTCCATGCTAGTTTCATATTTCTCGCATTATCCGTCACTACGGCATCTACTTTTTGTGATCCCACTTCTTCTATAGCCTTAGATAACACATCTGCTATATATTGCCCTGTATGACTTTCTGTTTTACTATCTATCGTTTTGTAAAATATCGGTTCCGGTGTTGAAAATACTATATTTATTAAGGATATTCCGTTGATATCCGTCCAACTATCCGAAAGCAGGATCAGAGAATTGGCTTTACTTAATTTTTCACCAATTTTTTCCTGTATTAAATTGTGCTCCTTATCCAACAAACCTGTGGATATTTGATATCTTGACGGAGGACTGTAAGATGGTCGTATAGTTTTCAGAAATGTCTTGAAATATTTGTTTTCCACCAATGACAAAGGGGAACATGTGGCATATATTGCTCTAGCTAGTAGCGTATTCAATTGTAAACTTTCTTTATCACTTATGTGGTCGCAAAAGTTTAGAATGCTTGAATTCGAAGATTTTATACTTTGTGTATCAGCAGTAGGAATCTGCAAAAATTAATTAGATACTTTGTAATCTTAGTAGGTAGATTTTTAATTAAATGGTAAAAAAGTAGTACAATTTAAATGAGAAATTTAAGTAAGTAGATACCTGATTTTCTTTATTCTGAGGACTTCTGTTTTCTTGAGAAAACAATCTTTTAATTTCGGCTGGCGCTTTTGAACAAACTGATAAGTGTTTTTCCATTCTCCTAGGATTGGCTATAAACATTTTTTTACAATATATACAATCTCCATGTATATATTTTCCTCTCGAGTACCTTTTAAAGTATTTCCATACAAGGTTTTGTTTACGTGGCATTTTGATTTTTAAATAACTTTTTATTTTATGATTTGCTTGACAATGACAAGCCACCTCAACTACCACCATAGATAAAAGAGTTAACTACCACACCACAAGCTTTTAGTTTTAAAATGTAAGGTTAAGTTTGAAATTTGGCTTTGTTGATGAAATGGCGGGAAAATTGATATATATCAGCTATTAACATAAATATAATAGCTGATATGTATCAAAAACAGATATATATCAATTTGTTATATATTTTCACTCACATCACTAAAAAAATATATTAATATTTCAAATTTGTAACATTAAATGATAGGTTCCTGAAATTTGACAGTTATTGAGTAAAGAGTTATACTGTTAGTATAAAACCAATTTTGATCTGCCACCAGTGGCGTAGTTAGGCGTGAGTCAGTCAACGTCTTCGTCTTAAAATGTGGAACGCCAATGGATTTTTTAAAATTTTAGTTATTTTCGGACTCGCTTAACCTAGACCTAAATGGTATGTGTCTCTAATAGTTTAGGAGCCGTACAAAAAATATATAACTATATTATATACCGACTATTTAAAGTGTTCTATTTTGAACCAGATACGTAGAAATTTAAATTCTGTCAAATTATTGAATGCAGTGATGCAATATTATGTATAGGGTACACTTAATCCATGCAGCAACTTAGGGTTATGTCCACTTAGTCATGTATTGATACAAGATTTGACGTAGAAATACAAATTAAATACATTCGTAACCATTATTGAACACTATGGTGCAATATTAGATATAGGTACGTATTATGTACCTTTACCACTTATCCATCATAACTACAAATTATAGCTATACTAATAATTGCAAAATAAATATATTCGAGGTCAAACTACTGAATTATTTTTTAAAGAATAATAATTATATACATTTATCTATGAGTTAAATGTTTTCTATAAGGCTATATATAGGGTGTTCCACCTAAAAGGAATTCTTCTGTAACCCTGTAACTGTAAAATTTATAAAAAATGGTTTTAATAAAAGTTGTCTGAAATCATGTGGGCTATGTAAAGAAAATTTTTAGCTTTACAGGGTGTTCAATTTCGAGTGGGCGCTACATAACTTGGAACACCCTGTATATTATTTTGTTCTGTGCTGTACTTTTGTAAAATACTATGTATCGACATTGTACTAATACAATTGCAAGGCCGTCTTGACGCTCTTACATAATTACACTTTTTCGAACTTTAGAAAAGAACCTGATTTTTCTGGAAAACTCTCAAATGTAAGTATGGACAACCTTATATCAGTCGAAAGGGCATTCAATTTTGCATTCACCCATGACAATTAATATGGGTCATTCCATTTGAAAAAAAAAAAGTTTTTCAACTCGTAAGATTATTAAATGTAGGTCTCAGTATTTCCGAGTCTGAATAAAGTACACGTTTTGCTCACAGATGATAAGATAGAGCCAAAACCAACTGTGAAAACTGCAAGATTCTAACTCTTACGGTTTACACTCTGTCTAGCCTCATTTAGAGAGCTGAAATCGTGATTTTTTTTCAAAAACAGCTGATTATCTCGAAAATGGTAAGTTTTAAACACTACGTACATTTAAGGAGGTATATCGGGGTCCGGGGGAAGTGAGCGCAGGGGGGGTCCTATGCTTTTCTTATGGGACTAAAACCAGCTACCAACTTGAAAAAATTTAATTCTATCGAAATTATTTGCGATAAACATTATCTATATTAGCAAAGAAATCTCCTCAAAATGCACATAACATACATATTAAAAATTAACAACATAAAAATATCATATTTAAGTAGTTTTAAATTATATTTAATGAACGCATAAACACTATGTAGATGGGGCAACAGCGCTAATAATCGAGTGCAGTTGTACTCACTGCGAACCTACAGACCTCGGACATCGGAGATATTGCGCGTCAGATTCGGGTAAACATGCGTACGCGTTCAAAAATGTATTGTGTGCAAACTATGTACAATATAATTATTAAATATATCAAATATATCGTATTATCCTCGCGAAGATTTGTATCCTTTATTTAAAATCCTTAAATGATGTGAACTGGTAAAACAACGAGAATTATGTTAATTTAGTTCTAAAGAAATGAAATGACACTCGCGCCCATCTCTCGTCCAAGTCGAAGAAAATATTGGACGCAATTTTGAAGGTTCCGCGCTGGAAATTACATTATTACTCACTGTTCGTGTTTTTAATCTCTATTTTAGTAATGTTACAGAAGTTTTGCAACTATAACTATTTTTTTAGATATAAAGTTTGCTGAGAAATATTTATGTTCCTTTGTTATTCCGTACAAATGCTTTTATCTCAAGTATTACTAATTATATTAATCAAGCAAAGAAAACCCTATGTAACCCTAAATATTGCTGGGTAATGATTACGATGTTTTTATAAACCATTAAATATATTAAAAGGATTTATCAAATGTATTTTTTATTCCAATAATATATCACAGTTTCCTATAGCCTTTTCTAATTAATTTAGTTTTTTAAAAACAGTACAAAAAAATATCTGTTGTGGATAATTTATTGTTGATAACAATGTACATGGGATTTAGGAAAAATGTATATGTTTGAAATCAATTTCGTTTTTATCAAGTCTTTCAAATGTATTCCCTCCTTGCTGTCAGCTGATTGCGATGCCACATTAATCCTCAAGTCAGACAGAAATGCAATTATTGGTTTCTGTTTCCAATTAATATAGCTGTACTATGTTCAAAACTTACATTAGTTTTACATCAAAAATAAGATAATACTGTGGTGTACTATCAATGGAAAAGTTTTGTTTCACAATCTCTACATTTTTTTCTGTTATGGGCAAAAAAAGAGCCGCACCGTCCATCTTCAACATATAAACCTATGTTAAAATGAACAACTTTCAACAACAATATCTCAAAATCTAGATTCAAAAATATTTCAAAAAAATATGACGCACAGAGGGAGCACTGGGTAATACGCTATATAAATTTCAAGTACCTACATCTGTGCATTTGAGTAGGTAAACCCGATATACCTCCTTAATAAACTCTACCTAATATTAACCAAGGAATTCAAAAACGCAATAATATAGAGGGTGTTCAATTTAAAATAACAAAGTCAAGTAGCGCCCACGCGAAATGGTATATTTATATTTATATTTATATTTATATTTATATTTATTTTCTTCTTGTAAAAATATAGATTTTGTTCATCGTACACAAAGATAAATTAAATAATAGTACTTATTTAACTAAATATCAGAATGATTCTATTGCGATAAGTGGGACATAATAGCTCTTTCTTCGCAGAATGTACTATGTACAGTTCTAAAAATCCAGTAACAAAATAATAACTTGTTTTAATTACATTAGACAACAAATAAAATTATCAATCAAAGAATTAATCAAATTAGAATAATATAACATAATATTAAAGAGTAGTAATACCTTTTCTAAAAACTTTTTGCAAGATACATAACCTAGCAAAAAATGTTGAGACAAAAGAAAAAATGCCAGTTCAGGGTTTCATACCAGTTTAATTCTTTACGGTAACAAGTTCTAATAAAAAAATGACACGTTAGTTGTTTCTGGAGCAATAATTAAATGTAGAACAAGTCGTTTAACACAAAACATCGAAGTAGTTCTTGAGAGTGTTGCTGAGAGCCGTGGAACATCAATTCGGCAACATGGTCAAGAATTGAATATTTCGAGAAACGTATTCTTAGGAAAGATTTGCTTACAAAGTTCCATTGACTTAAGAACTGAAGAGAGTTCGTTGGATGAATTATGGAACAATAAGTGGATGCTGATTTTTCGAACAAAATAATTTTTAGCGATTAGGTTCATTTTCATCTTAATTTCGTTAATCGACAAAATTGTCGTATTTGGGGTTCAGAAAATACACCAGTGATTGTTGAGAAACAAATGGATCCACAACGTGTCACTGTTTGGAGCGGATTTTGGGCTGAAGGAATCATCGGACCATTCTTCTTCAAAAATGCGGCAAGTCAGGCAATAACAGTTAATGGTGCTCGCTATAGCGACATGATAATCCAATTTATTGTGTTTAAATTGCAAGATAAAGATGTAGACGGCACGTGGTTTCAACAAGACGCTGCCCCATGCCATACGGCCCGAGAAACAATTCGGTGCATGCATGAGTCATTTCCTGGTCGTGTAATTTCCCGTTTTAGTGATCAGAATTGGATGCCCAGATCATGCAATTTAACGCCGTTTCTTTGGGGCTTTTTGTAGTCTATGGTTTACGCCAACCAGCCCACCACCACCTATGCCTTGAAGGAGGAAATTGAGAGCTGTATCAACGAAATTCAACAAAATGTTTGCGAAATTCACCCTCAAATTATGTTAACATAATTATTTGAACTAAACATATATTTCTGAAAATATTTGATATTCTAAGTTAAATTTTTCAGGCAATTTTATATTTACTAGACCGTTAATAATAAACACAAATATAAAAATATTTACTCTTTCTTGGTCTTACTTTGACTCCTACGACATAAATACGAAACAGCCTTTTTAATCACAAACAGAACCGTAAAAATAACGGCAAAGATAAATAGAAAAACATCTAATAAATAGAACTGATACCAGGTCAGTTCCAAATAAGGAACCCTCAAATGTCTAGCGCCATTGTGGCGTATAACGTATTCCACCCAGTATACTGCATTATCCAGAGGTTTGACCTGTCTGTCATGCATGATTCTCGAGCGCTCTTTAGCATTATTGGTGTATCTACAAACAAAATAAACATACGATAACTTCTACTAGTCAGTACAAGTTTTATCAAATCAAATCAACAATAACATGTATTAACGCTTACTTAGGATTTGACAAAATCTCATCCATAAGTCTCGACAGATTTTCTTCGTTAAGTTCTTCAAATGGAAGGACAATACCATAACCTAATCTTTCCCCATTGTAAGCGTTCATTTTTTGGTCGCCTATAATTGGAATAGCAATAATTGGCACGCCATGGTAGACCGTTTCTGTTGTACTAAGAAGCCCCCCATGAGTTATGAAGAGCTTTACGTTTGGATGAGCTGAAAAAATTAAAACCCAGCTTTATATTATTTGCAAAATTTTACCTGTATCACTTACCCAAAATGTCCTGTTGCGGCAACCACTTCCCTAGTTTGACGTTTGGTGGCTGACCAGGTAGTACATCATCCTCCCACTTCCACAGTATCTTCTCCTTTCTTTTACTGAAAGTCTTTAAAATCGCCTCTCTCTTCTCTACAGGCAGGTTCTGACTTTTCAAATTGGATCCCATACTGAAATAAATAACTCCTTCTTTTGCCTCGTCCAAAAAATTTTGTAGATCGTCGGGCAACTTCTTCGGTGGTTGTACATGAAACCCTCCAATTTGAATCATGCAAGGGACATGGGGTTGTGCCGTAAATATACTTTCGTGAGAATTTAACAGCACTAGGGACACGTTATACAACGTGTCTTCTATATCCACAGGATTTGGGAAGTATTTCTGGATGAACGTATTTTGGTGTGGATAAAAATATATGTTGTGGTACAAAGTACTAACGAATTTGAAAATGGTGTTTTTTACTCTTTGCATAAAGGACATTTTTTCTGGGAAATTTAATAATATTTCTGGAGCGAATGATGGAAGAGATGGATTTCCCACGAAGTGATTTAGCCAAGAGTTTGCCGCGGTGTTGCTAAATAGAATCAAATGTGCGTTGAAATGATTTGCGAGCGCTTTCATCGAATCGATGCCAAACTGTGTAATAATAACTGCATCGAATTTTTGGTTACTTTTTAACAACTCCTGTATCTTGTTATGTTTAAGAGCACCCTCTGATACTATATTTGACATTGTGCTTATGAGATTTATAGTAGATATTCCACTCTGTCCTTCCATTTTAAAAGGGTCGTGCTTAATAAATAGTTCTACAAAACATATATTTATTAAACTGCTGAATATAAATAAACGACTGATGAAATATTACGATTTGACTAATTTTCATACTTTTGTCCTAATTTAAAACAATCTTATGTACTTACTCTTCAACGGCTCCATAAGATCATCGAGAATAATTTCAGTCCATTTCCCACCTTTTGGAGGGTTCTTTTCCTTGAAAGGGCTAATGATGGTGACATCATGGCCAGCTTCAGCGAGCCCTTTCATTAGAGTACTTCCAAGTATATAATGGCTTGGAGCTCCAAAGGGAAACACTCCAAGAATTCTAGCACCTTGGTTTCCATTAATAATTCCTAAAAACAGCAGCAATAAGCTTACTCGCGCGCTCATGTTGGAAAGTAAATAGTAACTAATGTTTGGAGGATTGTTACTTCCACATTATATAAAAGTTATTGACGTTAGATAAGTCAGTTCTCCTAAACAGATTGATTACAATAAATTAAACGCAATGGCGCAATATTAGGTGGATCCGTTTATCATGAATCCAAGATAACTGTAACCTGGGGATATTTATATCAATTTAACCATAATTCAAAATAAATGTGAAAATATGTTTATCATTTTTGTCTGAAGGTTAATAATAAAAATATAAGACGTTGTTACGTCCTTATCAACTAATGAAGTCATGATTTTGTTTGATCAGACAGATAGTACCGAAATGTTTAATAAATACAGGGTGACATATTCAGGGTTAAATTATAGAAAAAAGTATGATAATTGGGGAATGATTATAATAGATATTTATCAATTCATGAAATGCTTCCTCTGACAATAAAAATTCGTTTCTTTATTAGGTAAAATTTCAATATTGTTTTACATGGTGTCTGCCAAAGAACGTTTAACCGCGTTAGAACGTTGGGAAACGGGAATAGTTCATATACAAATTAGTTCATATAAAACAAACCATTGAAGTTAGAAAATTATACATATTTATTTTTAGTCACATTTTGGAAAGCTATACAGCATTTTATGTATGAATAATATCCTCAAACTCTTATTACCGTTGGATTAAAAAATTCAGTTTACCAAAAGTATTCTTTTGTTTCATATCTATAAAATTCACCATTTTCAATAGAAACGGATTTTCCTTTAGGTACTCACGTCAATTTCCTATTTTTTAAGTTTATAAGTATCTTATGATGATACTAAATTTTATACAGGGTCATAACAAACAAAATTTAAATTATTTTCAGTGGAACATCAATGTTGATTCATACATATTTGAATTCTTTTCAAGATTATAGTAATATTGTGTTTAATAATATTACCTCTCACGGAAAGGATATCGTTATTAGAACATGCCATAAATGTTTTGTAACCACATCCTTCTTATCATGAAATATCAAACTTTATATTACAGTAATCTTGAGAAGACGTTCCGTGTAAATATAAAATAACATACAGGGTGTTCCGTTTAAAAACTTCATGGGTTTAGTTTTTCACGTTTTCGAAAAACGACTGGTACAAAATTAAATATAATCATATGATACTTCCATGTGAAAGAAATAAAATAATTGTCATCTCCGAAATGACATAGTAGTCCTTTTTGATTTATGTACAGGATGTCCCAAAGTTCGCGTCTCGGGTCCATAAAAGATAAACGAAAAATGACAGTAAAAATCTGGTGTGAATAGACTTGCTAAGGTCCATTTTGCACTTGAAAAATATATTTTTTTTAAATTCGGAAAATAAAAAATTACGTTATCAGATTTTTTTTTCCACCCATTATAACTAAAATTATCTATTTTTTATGAACATTGTTTGTGCACAAATTTTTTCTCTTATATCTTTTCCTTAAAAAGTTACAATAACAAACATTATACAAAAATGTATTCTATTGTATTGGAACTAGTAATGGCAACATTACTGTGAAACACAATCGCTGTAACTCCTGTCACAAAGTTTATATATTAGTTGTTATGCTTAAAAAAGGTCACTCCACGAAGAAAAATAGAACTATACACAAAATGACGGTTAAATAGGATAACCAAATATGGAAAATATTAAACAATTTTAATTGTAACTAATAGTAATATATGTATATAATAATAATAATAACAATAACTAATAACAAACTAACTTCCCTTGCAACTTTAAATAATGTTTCTCTTGAAAGATTCTCACAAACATGTCGAATCTTTTGCTTTAAATGCTGCAAGCTTCTCGTAGGTGTCTTATACAGGGTCGGAAAGTCCCCATGGTTCATCGGCCGTTACGTGAGAGCGATAAAGTAAGTCATAGAAATCCATGAGATAGAAAAGGATGGCTATAATGAAGGCGTCTCATAGTCACCGCCCGTTTCGCCCTTCCACAAATAAGATCCACTTCCACTTGTAATTCAGCGACCGGTGGTCATCTTTGTTTTCGTCGTTTGCCTTTTCTGTAATAGATGTCACTACTTATATAATTCCGACTTCGTATTCCGATATGTTAATACAATCCGTTAACAGAGGGCAGAACTTATTAAAATGTTTATATTTACAAAGGTTAAAAAAATATGAAATTTTGAAAATGTATTACATACAATTTTAAACTATGCAATGATAAAAGTGAAATATGTAAATGTGAAAGCGATAACCTATTTTGAATTATATTAGCATTTTTGTAACCAAATATAATATGAAACACCAAGGTTCGATATTCAATACCTATTTGTCAAACATACCATTGAAGTATTAATATCAGTTGGTAAATAGGTATCACTTACAATTAGTCAATTTTGGATTATAAGCGATGCCAGTTGTAATTGTTAATTGTATTATTAGATATTAATTTAAATTAAACCACGCCATATTTGAAGAAAATATTTATTACCTCAAATTATGTTTTCAGACAATTACTAGATTTCCTGCAGCGCACTATTAACAATAAATGTAGGATATATAATTATTCTTTCTTAATCTTACTTTGACTCCTACGATATAAATATGAAACAGCCTTTTTAATCACAAACAGAACCGTAAAAATAACGCCAAAAATAAATAGAAACACATCCAATAAATAATACTGATACCACGCCAGTTCCAAATATGGAACCCTTAAATGTTTAGCACCATTGTGGCGTATTACATATTCCACCCAGTATACAGCATTGTCCAGAGGTTTCACTTGCCGATCTTTCATGATTGTTGAACGCTCTTTGGCATTATTAGTATACCTTTAAAGAAAATTAAGTTTCATTGCTCTCCACCACATATTCATTATATTTAATCTGTTAATGGCTAATATATTTTGAATACCGTTTAAGACGTAATTAACCAATTAGACATAAAATAAGTCTGTATGTATAAAGTCCTATAATCTGATGAATTAACCTGTCCTAACAGACACTCAAAGTACTGGTGCTGAATGTATTAATACTTACTTAGGATTTGACAAAATCTCATCTAGAAGACGCGATAAATTCTCCTCGGAAACTTCTACAAATGGAAGGACTATACCGTAACCTAACCTTTCCGCGTTGTAAGCGTTCATTTTTTGGTCACCTAGAATTGGAATAGCAATGATTGGTACTCCATGATAGATTGTCTCTGTAGTACTAAGCCCTCCATGGGTTATGAATAATTTTACATTTGGATGAGCTAAAAAACAAATTTCAGGCTTAACAGCGTTTGGAATGTATTTTATATAAGAATTACGCAGAATATCCTGTTGCGGCAACCACTTTCCTACTTTGACGTTGGGTGGTTGACCAGGCAGCACATCATCCTCCCACTCCCACAGTATCTTCTTTCTTTTACTGAATGCCTTTAAAATCGCCTCTCTCTTCTCTGCCGGCATATTCTGACTTCTCAAATTGGAACCCATACTGAAATAAATAACTCCTTCTTTTGCTTCGTCTAAAAATTTTTGGAGGTCATCGGGCAACTTTTTCTGTGGTTGTACGTGGAACCCTCCAATTTCAACCATGCAAGGGACGAGAGGTTGTGCCGTGAATATACTTTCCTGGGAATTTAGAAGCACCAAAGATGCGTTATACAGAAGGTCGTTTATATCTACGGGGCTAGGAAAATATTTCTGGATGAACTCATTCTGCTGTGGATAAAAGTATATGTTTTGGTACAACATAATCGCTAATCTGAAAAAGGTGTTTTTTAATCTCTGTATAAACGACATCTTTTCAGGCAGTTTTAATAGTATTTCTGGAGAGAATAACGGTAAAGATGGATTCCCCACAAACTGATTCAGCCAAGATATTGCCGCCGTGTTGCTGAACAGAATCAAGTGTGCGTTGAAATGTTTTGCAAGCGCTTTCATCGCATCAACACCAAATTGGGTGATGATAACCGCATCAAACTTTTGGTTACTTTTTATTAAATCCTGTATTTTGTTATGTTTAAGAGCGTCCTCTGCTACCAGATTCCCAATTTTGCTTAGGAAGATTCCGGTGGATATTGCACTTTCTGCTTCCATTTTGAACGGGTCGTTCTTAGTAAATACTTCTACAAATAATATATTTATTAAACTGTTGAATATAAATACATGACTTTTAAATAATATTTCATACATTTGTTCTAATCTAAAATATCTTTGTACGTACTTTTTATTGGCTCCATTAATTCATCGATGATGATTTCAGTCCATTTCCCGCCCTTTGGAGGGTTCTTTTCCTTAAAAGGACTGATCATGGTGACGTCATGGCCGGCTTCAGTCAGTCCCTTCATCAAGGTACTTCCAAGTATATAATGGCTTGGAGCTCCAAATGGAAACACACCCACCAAGAATTCTAGCTGCTTGATTTCCATTAATAATAACTAAAGAAAGCAACAACAATTCGTGCACTCATGTTAGAATACAAAAAGTACCAAATATTTTGAGGAATGTTATTTCCAAATGTACAAAAATGTTACTAACATCAATACACTTTTGCAAACAAACTGAGTAAATTGAGGCAATTTTACTTAGGTATATTTATCATGTAGCCAAGATAACTGTAACCAAGAGTTATCTATATCTACTTAATCACGAACCCAAACAAATATATAGACACTGTTGTTTTCAAGGTTACGTGTAACTATATCATTTATCAATTAATTATTTAGTTGGGCATCAGATAACGCGAAAATGTCAAGTAAACATATATTCAAGGTTAAAGTATTGCGCAGTTATGATAATCAAGAAATAATTATAGTCATTTATCTACGAATCATGTTTTTATTTTAATTAATCGTATTTATATACTTGAATAAAATTGAAGTTTGTTACAAATTCTTGTAATATTTCTTTTTCTGCAAAATATACCTTTTTGGTACTATTTCTCCAAGAAATATAATTGTGAAAATTTGAAGTATGTACATTTATGTCAAAACAAGAATTTATTTTCAGATACATTAGTAGTTTTGTCGTTCTGCAACATTTTTTCAAGCATACCTAACCTCAAATTAATTAAACCAAATTAGGTACATAATATGTGAAAATATTTATTAAACTAAATTTGACTAAGATTTGCTATAGGTACTATAACAATAAACAAAAATAAAACAACGTTTATTCTAACTTAGTCTTACTTTGAACTCTACGACATAGATACGAAAAGGTCTTTTTAGTAACAAACATAACCGTAAAAATAACGGCGAAAATAAATAGAAATACATCCAATAAATAATATTGATACCACGTCAGTTCCAAATAAGGAACCCTTAAATGTTTAGCGCCATTGTGGCGTATTACGTATTCCACCCAGTATACCGCATTATCCAGAGGTTTGACCTGTCTGTCATGCATGATTCTTGACCTTTCCTTTGCATTTTCTCGATACCTGGAATAAAAATAATGTTCAATAGTTATTAATAAGCTATTAAGGATGATCCTTTGCACAAAAACGCAAAAAAATCAATATGAACATGGGGCCTAAATTGGTTGAAATGAAGTATTGTACTGTTTCTAATTAAACTGCGTTTAAACAAAGATACAAAAGTAGGTTTATTGAGTACGAAGTAAGAAGATTTGTAGTTGATTTTATTTTAGTGATAAATTCCAAAATTCTGATATATTTGACCCACTATCCCTTAATTAAGTGCAGAAGGGAAATTTTAGTTATTTCAATTGTCTTTGGAGTGTTTCTGGTCATGGCCAATTTGACAACAGTTCTGATACGAGAAAAACTGCCCAAAAAATAGAAAATTGAAAATATCTCTTAAAGTAGTAATGGCAACCCTAACAATGTTTATATGGCTTGAAAGGAAATTTCAGTCTGCATACGACAGAGCAAAAAAGGTTCCATTTAAGTGAACAGAGTTATAGCTGTTTGAAATTATCAAAATGTAACAGCAAAACTGAAACACCTAGTATTAAATGTTTTAATACTAGGTGTTTAATACGTTTGATATCATGCTCCTGAAAAGAATTATTAGCATCTCCGCGGACTCTTGCATCTATCAATTTTTTTTTTATAAAAATTAATATCTCAAAATCTATAACTCCTAAGTATAGGGAATATTCAAAAAAGTGACCCTCAAATTTCATGTAGAATATGAAAATGCAATAATAGGGTGTCCCATTTAAAATAACGAAGTGTGTCGTCTTCCGATATAAACGGTAGTACTGAAGAGATCTATATATTTTAGTTTTGCCCCAGGGACATTGCCATGTTGACAAATTTTTCAGAGCAGTACTTTCCTAGATATTGATATACGCAGTTCTCGGTGGGACACCCTGTATATACGCAAGTATACGCATAATAGTACGAAACAAAAATAATTTTTGTTTGAATTAGCTTTATAATAAATAGGATAAAAAATTAAACGTTTTCACAAATCCAACCAACACTAAAAACCACCCTTATCCATTTTACGAATCAGGATATCGAGAAGGGGTTTTCAACTTTTCGCAAAAAGCGAGGTAGTGAGTAACATCTAAACTATTTTTTCTGTTTTCTGGGAATAGTAGAAACATTACATTTTCTCAAAAAAAGTAGTTCAAAATAGGAAGGAAATAATTTATTTGTAAATTTAAGGTTGCTTTAAGGTTTCTTTGATATTTTTGAACAGACACTATCCGATTTAAACCATTCCTTTTTCTGGTAAATTATTACAGGAATACGTGTTTTATGTAAAAAATACCGTCGACCCGAAATTTTAAGAGAAAAGTAGTCTAACTTCAAAAAATAACCTTTGTTGGCAGTAATTCATAAATAAAAATTCAAATCCGCACCTTCTCAAGAATATAAAACATAAACTCATTTTCAACAGCCATCTTTGAGCGATCAAAATAGCTCCCTTATGACGCATTTTAGTAACTATGAACTTTTTCTTGTGTAGAATGACCCTTCCAAATATATGAACAACCTGCATTTATATGAATTGAATTTATCGGTTCATAATCTAGATTTAAACTCACTTTGGATTTTCCAAAATCTCCGCTAAAGCTGAAGATAGTGTTTCTTCAGTCATTTCTGTGAATGGGAGAATAAGACCATAACCGGCTTCTTTGGCGTTGTAAGCGTTCATTTTTTGGTCTCCGAATATGGGAATTGCAATGATGGGGACACCATGGTACACAGTTTCGGTAGTACTTAATAGTCCTCCATGAGTTATAAATAACTTTACATTTGGGTGAGCTAAAATTGAAGCAGTACATTATTTGTAAATCAGGCAAAATATCGGTATATAGCATTTTGAGTATTATATTGATCGTAAGATATAATCTACCTTAAAAGTAGATCACATAGATTTCAAGAAATAAATCAATGATAAGATAAAAACCGAACCGTATGATTTATTTAATAAGAGTCATTCATTAATCTGCAATGCTTTACGTTCTGTGTTTCTAGAACTGTGTAGGTATTAATTACTAATGAAGATACGAACAACTGGTAAGATGAAGAAAGAATCCTAGAATACCTTTTGAGAAAAATTATTACGGTACTTTTATAATAAAATAAATCCACACTTACAGGCACGCATCCACTCACGCAGATACCAACTCATGCACCCACACCCACATGCATCTCTACTTTACATATCTCCCGCCCACAGTCAAAAATACGAATTAAGTTGATAAGTTTGCATACCTAAAATGTCTTGCTGAGGTAACCACTTTCCCAGTTTAATGTTCGAGGGCTGACCAGGTAAAACGTCATCTTCCCACTTCCACAGCACCTTTTCTTTCCTTTTACCAAAAGCTTTCAAGATGGCCTCCCTCTTTTCTACGGGAAGGTTTTTGCTTTTTAAGTTGGAGCCCATACTGAAGTAGATAACACCCTCCGTGGCATTGTCCAAGAAAGACTGTAAGTCTTTCGGTAATTTCTTGGGAGGTTCCACATGGAATCCCCCAATTTCCACCATACATGGAACCGCAGGTTGAGGAGCAAAGAGGCTGACATGGGAGTTCAGCAAAACCAAAGAGATATTGTACATCGCGTCATTCAAATCCACCGGATTTGGAAGATACTTTTGGACGAGTTTATTTTGTTTAGGGTAAAAGATTAAGTAGGTGTTCGACATAGAAAAGAACTTGACCAATGTATTCTGAAGTCTTTGAAAGAATGACATTTTGCTTGGGATATTTAACACGACCTCTGGGAGGAACGAAGGCATGGACGGGTTTCCGACCAAGTGGTTGAACCAAGAATTAGGCGCCGTTTGACTGAACAGAATAAGGTGACCACCAAAATGATGCGCCAGGGCCTTTAAGCCGTCATTCATGAATTGCGGCACAATATAAGCGTCGAATTTTTCATTTGATTTTATCAGGTCTTGTACTTTGGTATAGTTCAATGTTTCTTCCACTATCTTATTACCCATTTGATTAGCCATTATAGAGAATAGTAGTGGATTGAAGTCCATTTCAAACATGTTTATACTCTCAAATTTCTCTGAAATAATAAATATCAAGATGTCAATTAAAATACATACAGGGTGATTCATTAACAATGGGAAAATCTAAAGCTGACCGTACTACACGTGAAATGGTGACAATTGGCGCAAACATGCCTTATCCGAAAGTTGATATTTTCGGAAATACAGGGTGTTGAAATTTTAAATTTTAATTCGTTTTTTGCGATTGTTCTGAAAATATGTAGGTTAGGAAAATTTGTGAGACAATATTTTTTTAAGCGACGAATAAGATGTGTGTTACAATTTCAGCGTTGCTCATAGAGGGCGCCACTTACGACAAATTTTACAGAAAATTTAGTTAATCACTTTTTACCCTGTATATCTAACATGAAACTTGATGAAACTTGATTCAAAAGAGCAATCATTTTTCCATTAATTATATATTCTTGTTTCATTTCGGAATCTCGATCCGTTTTCGAGAAAAATCGATTTAACGAACACTATGTTTTGATAATACGAAAAATTTCTTCATGTTATTACAACAATTAACAATAAAACAAATGAAATACGTAATAATGATTTAAAGTAATTGTTCGAAGAATCCACCGTTGACACTGATACACTTTACACGACGTTTTCTGAGAGATCCTCGAGTTTGAAACAACATATTGGGATTGCGTCTGACTTCGTTGGCAGCGATTTGTATTCTTTGCCACAACTCTTCAAGCGAATCAATATATTCTTTGTAAACTATATTTTTCATTCGACTAAATGGAAAAATCAAGATGATTGAAGTCCGGATTTCTGGGTGGACAAGCAAAAATGCTTCCACGTTCAATTCAGCGATTTGGAAAAACTGTGTCTAAATATGCACGCACTGGCCGAGAAAAATGCGGTGGAGCTCCGTCGTGCATGAACGACGTCTCTTCTTAAATAAAGTGGAACTTCTTCAAGCCGAAGCATTTACCCTCCAATTACCTGTATCGGCGACACTGCTTTTCGGAAAGAAACCGTTTGCACATTATTCTTAACGCACAGTTGATGTTTACTCGTGTACAAATTATGACATTTTTATCTTTAGCCGATTTAAAAATAATTAAGGAAAACTATTTGGAAAGTAACAACTTCAACACACTGTATCTCGAAAACAGGGCGTCTAAGAAAAAAACTTTACATGAACTACCCATATTATTTTTCCATGAGGAACTTGCACACAAGTTTTTTTGAAACATGAACGGGACACCCTGTATAATTTATGAAACACGTGTTGGTTATTCCTAAATACTTCTAAATCCTCGTAAAAATTAATTAATTTAAAGTTGTTCATTTTCATAAATAGTACACAAGGATCAGATTCGGTCTGTACAATTTCAATTATGACGATTTGTTACGGGTTGCCTAAATATGTGAAGCCACAATAAAATAGTCTATTACTAATAAATATAATTTTCTTCAGTATTTATATTATCGCATGTGTGATTTTATATTGCCCAAGCGAATAAATAGACGGAGTGATCAATGACATTAAAGCATTAGTTAGAATGTAATTTCTTTTATTTGCACTAACTGTGATTATGATTAGCTTAATAATAAAACACAGTTGCATATTTCTGTTTTCTATTATTTTAGACATTAAACATATTTTAACCCACTTTCAAATTTTTTAATTTACCTATATTCGTAATGTAGTCTTTATTCTTTTCATAAATAGTAATTTACTTACTCCTATTACATTAGATATTTACTACTGTTTTGTTCACAATAATATTTTCCCAGAATATATTAGTTATTAAGCTAAATCAAGGTCAAATTTGGATGAGCATAGACGCATCGCATATCTGAGAAAAACATATTTCAAACGCTAAGCCTCCCAAAATGATTATTATCATTATTGTTACAATCAGGTCCTGTCACTATTACTACCTTGTAATAAAAGGAAATAAATTTTAAAAGTAGGTACGCGATTTTTTATTATAAATAACTATTCTGACATCGGTTTAAAAAATACTTACTATTGAATTCTTCCATAAATCCCTCCAAGATAATTTCCCTCCACTTCCCCTTTTTTGGTGGATGTTTGTGAACGAATGGGCTTATCACAGTAACGTCGTGTCCCGCTTCAGCCAGGCCCTTCATCAAAGCACCACCAAGTATGTAATGACTGGGAGATGAAGTTGGAAACATCCCTAATATTCGCGCACCCCCTGTAAAGGAGGGTGCTAACAGTAAACAGAGCCCCACTAGATACCTCAAACTTGCGCTCATCTTGAGAAATATACTGCCGCTCAGATATCACCTGTATTTAATGCATTCGGCGACGCTACCTATTTCTATGTAAGTCAATACTGGTAATTTATAATATTACTCACAGTTATAAAATGTGGTATCACTTATCAGCATAGCAGAATTCAATGTCAGTATGATAAATGATTTTAGCTGGGTGTCGTCAGCATAGTGCAAATCATCATATTTATATCAGGATCGCCTTTAAAGAGAAAAAACATAATAGTTCCCAAATGTTTAGTATTAACGTAATTACTACAATAGAAATTAGAAGTGAGTTGAAGTTAGTATTCTATATTTATAGAGTGGTAGGCAACCAGCTTTACAAGTTATAAAGAGGTAGTATGTTGATGTTATCAAATTTTAATAAGAGGTTATCAGTATGTATAATTCGATTCGATTGATTATAATTCTTTGTGATTAAATTGATTCTAACTTAATTTTGATTTACTTTCCACGTCTTCACAGTGTTTTATACAGGGTGCTTATCAAGTACTTGTACAAACTTTAAAGGATGAATCTTTGACTAATTTTAAGATAAAAAGTTTATATGAACATAGGTCCGCAACAGATTTTTTCTTGAGAGCATTCAAAAAAAAATTGTTTCAACATTTTATAGTAAATGTTATTAATCTATTTGTAGAAGTAGTTTAGTCTTAGTCTTGTAAATGATCTAAGTTTGTCACATCGCAATACAATCAATAAAAGATACATTTTTTCACTTGTTTTTCAAAAACTCTTAAAGATTTAACAACAAAATTCCAACGCAGGTATAACTTTGAACCTGTTTTTTCACTAAATAGCTGCTTTCAGCGACTACTAAGAGTACTTTTTTGTATGTAAAATTGAATGGAGAATAAGTATGTCAAAAATGACATACAGTGCGACACAAAAATGTTATGATTATTTATTTATTTATTTATTTATTTTTATTGCCCAACAAGTTACTCCTATTACAGGACAATATTACTACACTAGAGTATATGAATAACAAAGATAGATTATAAGTATACAACACAAACATATATAAATGTACATACAAGAATCAGGTTACATTGCATTTTACTTGCTGACCATTGTATATTTTCAATGCGAGCTGAAAATGTCCGCTTCTTATCGAAGATGACCCCTAAGTCTTTAATGATTTCACAGCGCTGTAAAAGGCTTGAATTAAACGTATAACAAAAAGACACAAATGCTTGTTTCCTCATATAGGTCGTAACCTTACAGTTTGATATATTCATACACATCTGACATCAATATTCAATTCTATTCATCTGATTTTGGATGTTAAGGATGGAAACTGATGCATTTCTGGTTGCCTAAATTATACCGAAAAATGGTAGAAAACAGCCCTTTTTTTATTCCAATATATCTTTTTAAAGCAATGGAAGAAAGTAGTAAAATTTCATATCACATTTGGCAAAGTATAAATGAAGACAGTAAAGCAAAAATTAATTGGGATAGGTAAATAATTCGTGAGAAATTAATTTCTAAATATGAAGGTTTTTTGGACTTTTACAAAGAAACGATTATTTCTTCATAGTATTATAGAATTATGCAATTTTTTATATAGTTGTCTTTAAATAAATAAACTGATTAGACTTTATTTCATAGTTTGTTCATCACTTTATTATTTAAAAAGTTATATTGGAATAAAATTATTAAAAAATATTCATTCATGAATAGCATTATCTCCGACTTTTAATTCGCTTGATTTGTAATAGATGTCGCACTAGTAAAAATTTATTTATGAATGGACTCGGGTTATTTTTAACGAACAGCTGTTGTATGTGGTTAATTTGGTATAACCTGATTCTGAATTGGTAGTCATGGTTTCTGTTAATTGATACGTAAATATTTAAAGAATGTCATGATCATTTTAGATATATTTTTGTATAAAAGTATATAAGTAACAGTGCAAGTCCATACTATTATATAATTTTAGAAAATATGAAATATAAACAATTTTTAGTTTATTTAAAACCATAATTTATAATTAATATACCTATATTAGTATCTACGGTTAGTGGATAAGAGGGAAAACATTTTTATTTTCTATTCTACTAGAAAAAGTAATTCGTGACAAAAAATATTTTGCTTTTTAATTGAATATGTTTGTCATGAAAAACTGTAATTTATATATATACAGGGTGATCAGAAATTTAACAAAATTAATAACGTTGAAGAATAAACTGCTTTTGTTTTTGATAATATAAAAAAATGTTAATAAGAAAAGTTGTTCATAACGGAAAGTTATGTTATAATTACGATTTGTGAATAAAGCGGCTTACTTTGGTATAAACAGAAATGGAAAATATTATATTTTTAATAATTAATATTAAGTAATTCTTGATAAAAAAAATTCGCATATTAATATAAATAGAATTTTAATTGTGAATATACATAATAATGAGAAAATATAAAAAATATGTACGATATACTTATTTTGTCCAAAAAATGTGTAAAGAATTATGTACAAAAGGACGATTTGAGACTAAATTTTTTTTATGAGAAATAGGTATTCAGTTCACTTCACTTGAAAAAATAGTTGTAGGTACTTTAATACCTCCAATATAAACAGAAATTCTGTGGAACAGTGTAGTTTAATAAATATGTAAATAAATGAAAGTAATAAAGAAATAAATAGAATAGGTACAGTAGAACAGGAAAAAATTTAAAAAATCATAAAATAAAATTATTTCTTTTTATTAATTTGAGCTTCTATAATATATTCTGGATCCATACATCTTTTTCCCTGTGGAATATTTTTGTATATTATTTCTGGTAGTATACAATTTTTATAAAATTGTTCCAAATTTGTTGCCATTGATTTTTTCCATAATTCTTCATCTTTCTTAATTTGTTCTACATAGAGCGGGTTGTTTTCACCACTATAGGTATATTACGAAATAACATATAGACTTCTTCCGGTTATATTTAACTGTCTCTGTATCTGAAAGTAAGAAAAGAATTTTACCAGATAATATTTGTTATAAACATAGATAATTATACATTTTTACCTATTATGCTTTTGATTTACCATAATGATATATCTAGTCATATATAGGGTGCCACAATAGTGCGATAAAGTTTAGTATAACTGCCTGTAGTAGTGATACGAAAAAAGTTACTTGCTCGGATTCACATTTTATTATTATTTCCATTATTCATTATTTTCAGACCGAATTAAACGTTCAGAAAATCTTGTTTTTGGCCTGAAGATTTTGCCCTATACAACTATAACTGAAAATAATTATAAACTTTGTCACACTATTGGAACAGCCTGTATGTGCATTGCAACGACAATATGTCATATTTATATTACGGCTAAGTAAGCGGAAAGTCCATTGTCGCATATGTAATTTTTATTTTCAAATAATCAAATACAATACCTACATATTTATTTTAATATCTATTATTTACTTGAATTTAGTACTAAGTACAACTATGCCTAGCAAATTGTAATACTTACTCTGTTAATGTTTTTTCCTTCATATAAAAAATAGTAAACTCCACAAATAAAATATTTCGCAGCCGCAACGCAACAATAAAAGATAATAAGAAATAATTACATTCGCACCTACTCTGGTCCGAATCCATATAAGTAATACAATGTAGAAAATAATATGAAGTAAAACTTTTAGTTGACTGCAAATATTATAAATTTGTACAACCACTTGCCATCCTCCTTTTTTGTAAATATATACATAATAATATGTAGAAGATAGAAAATAGAAATATTTTCAGAACAAAAAACCGGCGGCCGCAAGTTGGAGTTTTTATTATTTTATTACCCTTCTCTTTTCATTTCCAATTATGAGATAGCAAGAGAGTGGGATGGACGTATAGGCCGGACAACTCATTATCGTACACGTGTGCGTGCACCTGGCATTTTCTCGTTTTTTTTAGGTGAGTTTTGCCGGAATTTGAATGAATGAAATAATCGTACTATTTTTACTATAAACGTATTTCCTGTAGCGACATCTATATGAATATTGTAGTACCACAGAGTAAGTAATATAGTACTTTGTTAGATGAAACGGGACTTCAATTTCCGTTCTTAATGCATTTAGATGCGGTGTCAATTTTAGAGTAAACTTTAAGATCATCAGCAAACATCAAATAATGACAATCAACAATAGAACACAAGTCATTGATAAAGAGCAAAAACAGAAGTGGACCCAGATTAGAGCCCTACGGCACTCCCGAAACTGCCTAAAAATAACTCGATCTATAATCATTGTAAGCAACATATTGAACCTTATTACTCAAGTAAGAATTGAAAAAAATTTGATAGAGATGCACTAAATCCAAATGCATTTACCTTATTTAGCAAAATTGTATGATCAATGCGGTCAAATGCCTTTGAAAAGTCCGTGTAAACCGCATCTACCTGACCATACTGATAACTTCAAATAGATACTACGTAATACTTAAAAGATCTCCTTTCCATAAATCCTTGCTGATATGGTAAGATGCAGTTAGATATGGAAGGATTATACAATGACTTTTCAAATACCTTAACAAAGTTGTTCAATATAGTAATAGAGCGGTAATTAGTTACTAACGGATCCCCAGATTTCAAAATACAACATACCTTACCCACTTTCCACAGCTTAGGAAACTTTGCAGTTTTTTAGCGCAAGTTAAATAATATTAATATCTTTTTCTAAATAACTAGACACTTGAACAACTCCCAGCAGAGATTGCTTTGTTTTTTAAACTATCCGTAGCTACCAATATAACGAGCATTCAAATAAAAACGTGGTCAAGTTGGTTCTGAAAATTTGGACGTAGGGCGTAGCGTATAGCAAATGAACTTAAACGTCGTCTGTCAAAGCGCTATATCATCGCTATCCATTTGAATATTTTCGTTTTAAAAAGCGTTTAAAATGGTGTTTTCTCAAGAACAAAAAGTGTTTATCATAGAGTCCTACTTTAGAAATGGACGCAAGATTGATGGAATATGGAAGTATTCTATTGAGGAATGTTTCATAGAATTTCAAAATCAATTTCCCGGCGTTGTTGAGTACAAAATTTTTCAAAGTGCAGTTCAGCGTTGTGTTAATGTTTTTCGTGAAACGGGCAGTGTAACAAGAAAAGAAGGAAGCGGCCGACCTAAAAAGCGGACTGAAGAATTAAAAGAAAATGTCCAACAAATAATGGAAAATGCGCCAAGAACTTCTGTACGTGTTTTATCACAAATGGTGGGAGTATCAGTCGGTACCTGCCACACAGTGTTAAAAAAAGATTTGCGTTTGTTCTCCTATCGTTTAACTTGTCAGCAAGAACTTCATGAAGTTGATTTTCCGCGACGGGCTGTATTTTGTGAATGGTTTTTAAACAACTACGGTGAACTTCATAATATCACCTTTTTTTCTGATGAAGCCTGGTTTCATTTAAGTGGTTACGTAAACTCACAGAATATGAGAATGTGGTCTTCTGAAAAACCAGATAACTTTTTTGTCGAGGGCCCTCTACACGCTCAAAAAATTGGAGTTTGGTGTGCTCTCAATCGAAGGAGGATTTATGGACCTATTTTTTTTAATGGTACTCTTACTGCGCAAAGGTATAGAGAAGAAATTATCGCTCCTTTTGTTAACCAGCTGGAAGAAAACGAAATTACAAACTTTTACTTTCAACAAGATGGCGCAAGGGCACATACGGCAGGCGAGACGATGAATATGTTGAGGGAAGTTTTCCAAAATCGACTAATAAGTCTCAATGCTGAACATGAATTTCCACCGAGGTCATGTGATATTACGCCGTGTGATTTCTTTTTGTGGCCTTACCTTAAAAACACTATTTTTGAACTGCCTATTCCTGATTTAAACCATCTGCAGGCTCGACTTATAGACAAGATTCGTGAAATTAACAATACCCCGAGCATCTTAGAAAATGTCTTTAATTCTTTGAGGAACAGGTGTGAAAAGTGCTTGGAACGAGGAGGGGGACACTTTCAGCAGCTGCTTTAATTTATTGTTATAACAAGGAGGGGGACACTTTCCGCAGCTCCTTTAATTGTTTGTTATTGTTATCACGATTATTCTTTAAACGCCAAGAGCCAAGCCGTTGCGAACCCATGTGATTTATTTATATTCTTTTGTTCATCAAATTCAATAAAAAAAATTACTAATTCGTTGATATTTATTTTTAGAGGTCGCTCGAAAATATTTTAGGTACACTTCTTTTAAAGTTAAAATAGTAATGAGTAACCTTTAGAAATTAAAATATCGATTTGAAATTTTCAGAATCGAGTTATTTTTCAACCTAGAAAATGATAAAGTAACGGGAAAAAAGAATTTAAAAAAAATCATTATTTGACGATTTTGGAAATTTTTAAAAATCTTGAGCGACCTCAAAAAAAAAATTTTTTTTGAGCAGATTTTTTGAAGGGGCTCTTAAAACATGATAAACTAACATATTTCACAAGAGACAGAAATATATGTTTTTCCGCCGATTAAAAAAATACGTGTCTCTACATTTTTTACAGTAGACTGAAAAAAAAAATTACAAAATTCATTAGTTTTTCTGCTTGTTATGATTTTTTTAAATTTCTCAAATTTTCCCTTAACTTCTAGCCTCCCTAACTCTGTTAATTTTAATAATACAAGAAAAAGTCAAGAGGCCATTTTTATGTAGAATTGTATGCTTTACATACGAAACTTTTTTCTAGCCCTTACCCGTTTTGAGTTATCTTGAAAAACCCCCTTTGTTTTATCTTTTTTCACCCTTGGCCGGGGGTTGAACAAAAAATTACTGTCACTTATTGTTATAACATTCCTCAAACTAACTCATATCAAAAATTCAGGCAAGTTGACCAAAATTTCGATTTAAAGGCTTATTAGTTGGACTATTATTGCTTTAACCGATTGTGTTTTTGGTTGCTTCGTTAGATTTAATATTTGTGAATTCATTTGAAAAATTGAAAATCCAAGATAATCAACAATGGCTCAGGAGATGAGATGTGATTACAAGACAGTAGAAACCACCTGTATTCGATGAGAAAAGTTCCCAACCTAATAGGGGCGTTGTAGGTATAACCGAAAATCCCCATGACATCGTTTAATAACTGTTCTATAATCACTGTTCCGTTCTTACTAATTAATTTATAGTGTTTCTGTTTAAATATTTTGATTGCACCTTTGCACGGATCTTAATTTTTGTTCTTTCTGTGCTGTCAGTTAGATAGTTATTGGTGACATATATGTATACGCATTCTTGAAGAAGTAATTGGTTCCTTCATATTATTACAAAAATCACTCACTAGCTCTTCTCTGAACAAATATTCCGCTTAAATATTGGGAGAAGCATTATCATGTGCTTTAAATGCCAACTTCTAGCGTTTACAAAGGTTTTTTTTTTAGACTGTTTGTTAATATTCTGTACGTGACTGTATTCGCTGGATGCACCATCGGTTGATCCTAAATGACCCTAGTTGCTATCTTTAACCGTCTCATTGTCTATAGTTTTTTCATTATATGCTCTCCTAAAATTTTCGCCTCCAAATATTTATGTAATATAGTCAATCTGTCTCTATAAACTTGCAATTACGCAACAATCACTTCAAATTTTTCAATAGATTTCAGAAACATCTAGAAGAAAGCCTACTTTAGTTTCTTATCGTTCAATAAGTACTTTTATTTCAGTAATATTTACTGTATCGAAATCACATCTGAGAAGTGTTCTTACAAATACAGAAGTATTTCTTCTAAATGAGATAAGATTTTCTGCTAATCAGATGAAATTTTCTGATGATATCATCGTTTGACTAACAAATTATTAAAATGTAGGTTATATCTATTAAAGCTGAACTCTAAGCTTTGCAGCTGAAAAGGCTGTGTCCGTATTTCAATTTTTGTTGTAAATTCTTATGAATATATTAAAAAGTAACATAGAACAATTAATCTAATTTAATTTTATCTTTTCTTTTGGCTTTTGAGATTTGCAACAAATAACAATCTTTCTAATACTAATGAATAATACATATATGCTTAACGAGAATATTATGGTTATAAAACTAATCACGTCCAAGGAATGGTATATATACCATGGAATTTTAACAGCAGCCACGCCGAGATGGTGAGCTCCTTTAGTTCTAATAACATATTCCACCCAGTATACAGCGCTATCCATGGGCTTCAGTGGTCTGTCGTGAAATAACTGGGACCTTTTTTTAATATTATCTGTGTACCTGTCAAATGAAATGTCATATTTACATTGTGTTTTAAGCAGTATAATACAAACTACTCACTGTGGATTAGTAAGCAATTCTTGCAACATTCCTGACAGCTTTACCTCTGAGAAGGAAGGGTCCTCGTAAGGCAATGATAAAGCATATCCACTGTGAGTGGCAATTTCTGCGTTACGATGTTGGTCTGCGAAAACTGGTATTGCCAATATGGGTACACCATGGAAAACAGTTTCAGTTGTGCTCAATAGTCCGCAATGAGTAATGAACAACTTCACATTTGGGTGTGCTATAATAATTATTACTTTTTATTGTAATACTTAGTATAAGCATAAATCAAGACTTACCTAATATATCCTGCTGAGGGAACCATTTGGCTATTTTTACATTTGGAGGTTTTCCGGGTAAATCCTCATCCTCCCACTTCCACAGCACCCTCTGCTTGAGTTTACTAAAGGCTGTTAAAAAAGCATCCCTCTTTTGTGGAGGAAGGTTCTTGCTTCTCAGGTTTGATCCTAGACTGAAATATATCACCCCTTCCTTGGCATCGTCCAAAAATTTTTGTAAATCTCCTGGTAGCGTTTTAGGAGGTCTGATGTGAAAACCACCAATCTGAACCATTTTAGGCACGAAAGGAACAGGTTGATTCAAACTTTCATGGGAGTTTATTAAAACTAACGATACATTGTAAAAAAGGTCATAAATATCTGGAGGATCGGAAAAATATTTTTTCAAAATTTTGTTTTGATTCGGAAAATAAAAGAAGTAATCTATTACGTTGAAGAATAAATACATAAAAACGTTGCCAAGTCTTTCAAAAAAGGACATTTGCTCTGAAAAATCGCTGTTTGCTGGGGAGATATAAGATAATGGCGATGGATTTCCAACTGCGTTATTTATCCAAGGGTTAGCACCCAAACTGCTAAAAACAATTACTGGAGCGTTGTAAATATGACCAAAAATCTTCACAGTATCTACTAAGAATTGTTCCACTATGATCACATCAAATTTTTGATCAGATTCCAAAAACTTCTCCACATTTTCATTTTTCAAGAAATCTTCATTTAGTTTTATTGTCAAGTTGAAAAAATTAAGCATGGTTTTAATCATTGATTGGTTTTTGTTGTCCAATAAGTTCATTTCCTTCAGAATTTCTGGAAAATAAATTGTTTTGTTACTGAAACCCGTTCCAATAAATGATTTATCTAATTGTAAGTACATGATATAATAAACGAGTTGATTAAAGTGATTATCTGATAATTATAAGAATTGATTTAAATCTCAAGGATAATCAAAGAGCGGAACAAAAAAGACTTACTGTTGAAATCTTCTACGAATCCAGTTAACACCACGTCCGTATAACTACCATTTTTAGGGGGGTCCTTTTCCTCATGAGGACTAATCATGGTCACATTATGTCCCGCTTCCGCCAGGCCTTTCATCAGAGCGTTACCCAAAATATAATGACTTTGAGCAGCCATTGGAAATACACCCAAAATTCGAGCACTGTCCACTGTGGTGCACGAAATGCATAGCGGTATTATAATTATTAATCTACACCACATATTTACTGTGTTTACAACACTCTAACCAAACTTGATATGAAATATGGAACATATTTTTTTTTTCTGTACGAGATAAGGTTATGATCGTATGATAAAGAAATACTTGTTGTTGATTAAAAAATTGTCAACTGAGGCAACAAGTCCGCAACTTTGCGAAACATTTAAACACTTATTTCACCACGTGTTGTAAATAAATGTTTTTGAATTGCTGTTCACTAAAAGATATACTCATTATCATCCAGCAAAATGTACTCGTACATACAGTTGCCTACCAAGTTCTTAGTACTGGTTGCTATGTAGAGATGTTTATATAATATAACGATGAATGAATCATGTGTGCTTATTAAATCAATCAGAATAGTATTTGGATTTCGCAATTCGCGACTGTATAAACCATGCTTTAAAAAAATTGACTTTTAATCACGCTTAATAGCTATTTATGTAACAAATAAGCAATTTATCTGACTAACGAGTCCATTAAAATATTTTGTATACGTACTATTCTGGTTATATACAAGAATATGTTTACCCAGCGAACTGATTTTAGTTAGCAAAATTAAAAACTAACAGATCGGTCAGAACTCAACTTTTGAATTACATCATGGGCAGGGAATTTTAACAGAAGCTACTCTAAAAAGGTGAGCACGGATTGATTCGGATGACATATTCCACCTATTATATTAATATCTCTATCTCTACTCCTCATTCTAATCACGAGAATTAGCCCAGAAGTCGGAGACTTGTGCGGAGAGGAGGCGGCATATTATTATTATTAAGCAGGCGGTGTTTGGGCCCAGGAACGACTTAATGTTGGTAGACCCTAACCACCATTCAGTGTAGGAATGAGGGAAACCTGGAAAACCTCATTAATTAGGGGGGTGGTCAAATGCCAACCGGTGTAAATCTCTCACAATGACCCAAGCCAACATTCGTCCACCCTACCATACCTGCACAGAGGGTGCCAATCCTTCGTACAAGCATAGCTAATCTACGGTCTACCGGCCGCGGGAATCGAACCCGGGCAGAATTAGCACACATCGATTTAAGTACTGACGCCTAAAACCGTGCGGCTACCGACCGTATTGTAGAGTACTATCTATTCAAGATACTGAAATGCTAAAAGTCAGAATATCTTCGTCATATTGTTTTGTTTACTTTTTTTTTACTTAATTGTTGTTGTAATTATGTTCGTATTATTTAAAAGTTGCACTTGAATGAGGCGTATTTTAGTTTTGTACTTTGTTCCCTGTATAAAAAAATAAATTTTTGATAACGTGACTCATTCATTTTTCCAGCAAAAACTTTCATCAAAAATGCCTTTTTTCGTATCTTGCAAAATAAGGTATGTTTACTCTTACGCAAAATAACATTTTTGGTTTTTGACCCAATCTGTACAACAAAATAGAAGTTCGTCGTTGTGATTCGTATTTTCTAACCAAGCAAAAACTTTTATCAAGAATTCCTTTTTTTCGTATCTTTCAATGTTTAGTCCATTTGTAAACTCAATTCGCGGACATACTAATAGCTAAATGGCTTCCTCACAGTAGTGAGGAAGCCATATAGCAATTTTAACATTTGAGGGTTTCCAAGTAAATCTTTCCACATCATTTTCTCCCTGAGTTTGTTAAATGCCATTAAAAAAATATTCCCTCGTATATGGAGGAAGCCTCTTCCTTTTCAAATTCGATCTTACAATTAAACTGAAATATAATAGTTTGTTCTTATTCCTGAATAGAGGATTTCTGAAGTTATCAATTTTTCCGTTTACTAACAAATGAATTTTTCTTTGTTCATACTTATATTTGGAAAAAAATAAGGGAATCTGTTAATTATACAATTCTGGGATAAAATTGAAACTTTGTTATAAGTGCACGTAGTTATCACAAAAATAAAGCCAACGATCAGACTAGTATTAGGTCAGATCTGATGTGATAAAAATTGTCTCACTTTTCACAGTGAATCATGTCGACTTGTTCAGTTACACTAATCTGCTAACCACGTAACATCTTTAAAATAAAGAAAAGTAAATGTAAATGTATGAGTGGACGATTGCTTGACAGGTTATTTTCAAAATCGGAAGATAAATTATTTATTAATTCACTGATAAGTCCACATATATTAGACGCATAAAACCATCTAAAACAATTTGAAAAATTCACAAACAAAATAAATTAATAAATACAAACTGTTTACTGGCATGGTATTCAAATAATATATCCTGTTCTCTCGTTTACAGAAAATTTTCACCAATACAATATTACCAATGTGATAATGTAGTGTATTTATGAATGAAAACATTTATTGTCTACCATTTATAGTAAATATAACTGCACTAAATGGTAGACCTACCACCACATCATATTATACAAAACAATACCTAAAATTAGCAGGAAATAATAAGAAAACAATTAAATACAAGTTTCGCACACGACCGTAACAAAACATTATCGCAAATGACTCGGTAAACAAATGAATAATGATTTGGATTATCACAGAACCACAGATATCACAGTAAAAGAAATTATTGATAACGGCTCATACCCACAATTTGCAACTAACTCTCTCGCTAGTGGTATGATGAACTATCCGGCTTATTTCCAGATTTATAAACTTTTTGATATTCCCCTTTTCATTTATTTAAAATTTGTTTCTCGCCGATCGACATTAAAGGCGTAGTTTCAGTGACAACTGTCACATTTACTTAGGCAATAATTTATTACTTATTATTATTATTTAGGACTTTATTATTTACGCATTAGATTAATTTTTAATGTCGTCGCTAATATAAAAATTGAAATTTGTTCTTTAACGAAAGTAATTAATTGTTGCAAACATTTATAGTGAAATTAGAACAGGCTGTAAGGGATATCCCCTGTCCTGTTTGTTTTGAAACATTTACTTCGTCTATGTAGGTTGAAATGTTTTCACTAGTAGATGGTTTATGAACTATTGAATTTTCTTAAGTGGTTGAATTATTTAAAAAATGGCTTCCAGCACTTGATGTGTACATCAAATTAGGGAAATTTTTTTTACTAAGGATTGATTTACGAGTTATGGACTCCTCAATGTAGCCTTCAGCTACCGTTGAAGATTTCCATCCACCATGCATTTTTAATGTTGTGATGTCAGCACCTCAATTTATTAATAGTGTAGCCAAAGTTCTACGGAAACAATGTCCAGTATATTTCTCATATATTCAGTGTCTCCAATTTTTATTTGAAGTAATTCATCACATCGACACGCCCCAGATATGTCAAAAATCATTGCCATTACCGTTATACCTAAGTATGTATCATCATCACCATTAGAAATTATTCAATTTATTGCGACATTTGTTATTACAGGATATACCCACCTAGACCCACCTAATTGTGTCATTAAAAAAAGGCTAAAGTCAGATTTAACGTTATGGAAATGATTGTATTTGAAAAAATAAGCTGTATTACAGCTTATTATATAACTTTATTTTTGGAAATTGGTAGTTAATATTTCATAAATCAAAATGTGGTACTTTATTTACCCATCAGATCTCTTTAATATCAAATTTCACAACTATGGTTAAGACGATTTGAGTACATCCTGTACGTATTAAATGTTGCAAGACGGTTAACTATGTGTGTCTAACTCAATTAGTGGTCATATTTTAGTATGTTTTTTCATAACGTACAGAATTAAAAAGAAAAACATTCCGTTTCAGCTTTATCCGTAGACACTCTGTATACAGGGTCGGAAAGTCCCCATGGTTCATCGGCCGTTACGTGAGAGCGATAAAGTAAGTCATAGAAATCCGTGCGATAGAGAAAGATGGCTATAATGAAGGAGTATAATAGTCACCGCCCATTTCGCCCTTCCACAAATAAGAAGTGGATCTTATTTGTGGAAGGGCGAAATGGGCGGTGACTATTAGGCGCCTTCATTATAGCCATCTTTCTGTATCGCATGGATTTCTGTTACTTTCTTTATCGTTCTCACGTAACGGCCGATGAACCATGGGGACTTTCCGGTCCTGTATGTGATATCATCGCTAGGTACCTCACAATTTTTGCAACAAAACTGAACAGACAATGTCACTGTGTCGCGATTAGATACTTTACGATAAATATGTCTTAGATTAAATATAATGATCGCCCATGTAGGTAGGTACCTATCTACCGTCTATACTGTAATGACTATTAATATTTAAATGTCATAAGTCATAATGAATGATAATACTGTTGTTTATTCTGGGAATGCAATAATACGTAATAAGATGCAATACTTGTAATGCAGAATCTGTAAATATCAAAATAGGCATATTCATATTTCTAAAATTTACAACCTTTTTGGATACCTATATAAGATATTTTAAAGTGATATGTGTTCTTAATGTTAAGTCATTTATTTTAACAGCTGGTAGAACTCGTAAAAAAGTCGATTTACCAAAAATCGTTTATATAAAATTATAAAAATCCGGTTCTACAAAAACTGTTCAAAATTGTTCAGAATTGTTACCATTTGTTTACCATTTATGTTGCACGCAGTAGTCGAAAATGATAATAAATCTGGTTTGTTTACCGTCGAGGTACAGTTCCCCATGTAGCTGCGGCTCAATGAATATGAAGAAACTAAACAAGTTTTCTATAAATTATTTAATATTTGGTTAAGTATAGGGGAACTAAAAATAAAATTGAAAATTATGTAACAGAAACAAAATTATGTTAGCAAAATTACATATTAGAAATTAAAATAGGAAACAAATATTTCAATAAATGCTCGAAATGTTGCCCATTTACTTCAATGCATGCCCGACATCGTTTGACCAAGGAATTGTAAACCCTCCGTAAATCAACGGTTGCTTGAATTTGCTCAGCGGCTGCATTAATTTTTTGAAGTAAATCATCCCTCGTGTTACTGGGTTTGGCATACATCAGTTGCTTCATATGACCCCAGTAAAAAAACCAAGCAGGTTGAGGGCAGGGAACCTGGGAGGCCACATAATAGGTCCATTTTTCCCAATCCAGCGTTCTGGAAAATGTAAATCGAGCCACGCAGATACGCGCAGATACCTGTCTTCCATCTTGTTGGTAGTACATTTGATTTAGCAAAGCTAAGGGAACATCTAGTACGGCATCAACAATATTTTCTAAAAAAATCCGTGTATCTCTACAATAATTTGAGGAGGCATCAGAATCACTCCGTTAAAGATGCCTCCCCAGACATTTATGGAGAATGTTCTTTGAAACGCGGAAGGTCATATCACATGGAGATTTTCAATGGACCAGACATGACATTTTTTTTAAATCATTTATAACATTTCCCGTAAAGATAGCTTCATCGATCCCCAATATTTTTTTATGGAAATTTTCGTCATTATCGATATGTTCTAACAACTTGCAAAATTGTATCCTTTTTGTTTCGGAATTACCAGGATGCAAGGTTTGTACTTTATGTAGGTGGTATGAGTTCAGTTCTTGTCGGTTTAAAATTCTCCAGACGCCGCGTCGTGGAATACCACTTGCGTTGTTATTCTTCGCACACTGGTGGATGGATTATCAACAACAGCAGCTATTACATTTTCTTCTAAAATGTTTTCATCTTCCAAATTACCTCTTATTCTGGCATTTCCAATTATAACACTCACGGCTTCATGGGCTCTTTGGAAAACTCGTTGAAATACGTGCTGTGAAGGTTGCCTTCTGTTTGGAAACCTGCGTAGATATTCTCGTGAGGCCGCCAATGAATTTCCATCACAAAAACCATAGACAAATAACATATCGGCATATTTGTTGTTGGAAAATTCCATAATTGGTACTCTTGTTGTTTTGTAATCTTAATTTCTCGTATTGTAATTAATTTTGACATGTACACTTGTAAACAACTTTGTTTTTTATGACAGGTATCTCCTAGATAACAACAAATAAAATCTTTACGTACATTTTGCAGCCGATAATTTAGATCCTATTTACTCGATAACGGTTCATTTTTGAGCTATGAAACAAAAGCACATTTTTTGTTCAGAATCGATTGCAGATTCAGGAAAACGTAATCAAATTATATAAAACAAGGATATGTAAAAGTTATGGAGACATAACCTTGAGGACAAGTTGGCCTAGGCTACCTCTGGCTTCAGATCGAAATAAGTACCATGTAGTTTTAATGACCTTTAATAGATGTACATTTCACCCAAAAATTACGTAAATCCCTGAAAAGGTTTATGAGTTATTGCGGAGTTATTATTTTTTTCTAAACAACACCCTGTAACTCAGCGAAAGTGCATCACAGAAAAATATTTTATAAGAATTTTAATCTTATTTTGGTCTGGTCTATCCCCTGATAATATTTTGTACGCTGACACTGGGACACCCTGTATAAATGATTTTTGGTATATCGACTTTTTTACGAGTTCTACCATGCAGCTGTTAAAATAAATGTCTCAACTTTGAGAACACCTGATATACAGTAGGTCCGTATTAACATCCCCTTAAATACAAGTAGGCTGGTGGTATAAAGTGAAACAATTTTGTTATGGGTGGGACCCTGAAACGTCATAACTTGGAAATTATTGGTTTCCAATTGCCACGAACAGAAAATTGCACAACAAAATTAGGATATCATGGAATCAAAAATGGTTATGTACGGTAAAAAATTTGAATACATGGTGTCCAGTAAGGAATGCGTCATATGAAAAGCATCTGCCTTGGGTCAATATAAACTGATATAGATCAATACAAACATATAAATAAAAAAAATAAAACTATTTTATTTGAACAAAAAGAAAAAAAAATATGAATAATCAATTTTTCTTGACTTTTCCTCTAGTTTTTAAAATTGCGCCTAATATCCTTTTAATAACCATATAAATTATAACTAATAAACTAATAATACATAATAAAGTAAATGATATAACGTCTAATAACAAATACTTGTACCAAGGTAAATCCACACCAGCCACTCTTAAATGAGGTGCACCTTTATGTTTTATCACGAACTCTGTCCAATACACTGCAAGATCCATGGGTTTGACTGGTCGATCATGCATCAGATTCGAACGCATTTTGGCATTATCTCGATATCTAAAAAAATAAATTGAATTTGCATACAGAATCTTTGATAAGTTTTGTTTCCAAACTTACCTCGGATCGTTAAGGAGATTGTCCAAAGCAGAACTAAGCTTTTCCTCATCTAATTCTGATAATTTTATGGTAAGACCATAACCATCCAACGTAGCACGAGCAGCGTTCATTTTTTGGTCAGCAAAAACTGGTAGAGCCAGAACTGGTACACCATGGTAAATTGTTTCAGTGGTACTTAGTAAACCTCCATGGGTTATAAAGAGTTTGGTATTAGGATGGGCTAGAAAAGAGCAAAATAATTTATTATATTTTAACAACAATTATTAGTCGAAGAAAGAGATGATGCCATGACATAAGAATAATAAGTAAGATCCTAATTATTCAAAAGGAAACGTGAAGTATCAGTCTTTTTCTTGATTTGCACGGTATAATATACAGGGCGATTTACAATTGCACAAAAAAATTTCTGAATAGATGCGGCATGAGAAATGGAGTCAATATCGTAAAAAAAATTTTGGAAAATCCTTATAATTTCCGAGAAAAAAAATTATTGAAGTAGTAGTACTTTCAACCATTACATAGATGGAGAATTGTAGTCTTGAGCGTCACGTCGCCTCAGCGACTCCGAATACTGAAATCCGATTTTACAATCATCGTTGCGATATTGTTTACAAAAGTTTTTTAGTAATTAGTGTTTCTTTCTGTTTTTTTTTTCTTTACAAAATTGTATTTGTAAGAGTCCCTGTACATCCAAAATTATTTTTGGTTGTAAAGTTCTGAATCACCCTGTGTATATCTTACTCTGCTTTTGAGGGAAATTGATATAAAATACGTATAAACTTACCTAGTATATCTGCTTGGGGAAACCATTTTCCTAGTTTAACATTGTCGGGCTTCCCTTCAATGCTGTCTTCGTCCCATTTCCACAAGACCTTCTGTTTGATTTTACCAAAAGCTTGATGAAGGGCTTTCTTTTGATTATCAGATATCTGTGACGGTTTAATATTTGATCCCATGCTAAAGTAAACTACTCCTTCCTCGGCACCATCTAGGAAATCTTTCAGATCCTTTGGTAATTCCTTTGGAGCATTAACGTGGAAGCCTCCGATGTCGATCATACATGGTACGTGGGGTATGGGTTGGTTTATACTTTCATGGGAATTTAGAAACAATACAGAGGAATTGTAGATAATGTCGCTCAAATCTGGTGCATCTGGGAAATATTCGTGCATTAATTTATTCTGTGCAGGAAAGAAAATTAAATGACGATTCAACTCGTACGATATCCTGAATAACCAGTTGGTGAGTTTTTGCCAAAAGGTCATGTTGTGCGTGAAGTCAAAGAAAATTTCTGGTATATAAGATGGCGGAGATGGATTTCCAACTAAAGGATTAACCCATACACTAGCACCAACGGTACTAAACGTGATCAGAGGAGCTTTGTAGTGGTGAGCCAACACTTTTAAAGCGTCGTTATTGAATTGCTCTATAATGACGGCATCGAAGGTTTGGTTAGACTTCAAGAGTTTTTGAAAATTAGGGTGGGCGAATGTATTACGTGTAATTTCGGTTCCTAAAATGTTCACAAGAGGGATGTACCAAAATGGATTCATATTTTCTAAATCTAGAAGGTTGGCCAATGTCTTGGGTTTATCTAAAATAGTAAAATTATCGTAAATATTGGAGCTATTTATACAGGGTTCCCCATATTAGACTATGCAGTTTAAAAGTCGAATAAAAACTTTCTGACCAAAGTAAATTAACTTTCTAATGAACTAATATGTAGCTAATTTTATGGGATTTATAACGAAAATAAATAATAAGTAAATTTTTAAAGATCATGTCTTCCAAATGCCCTCCTTCGACTTCAATGCAATTTTGAATTCTAAGTTCAAAATTTTGCATCACTCGACGCAGCAAATCTCCATTTATTTCTGCAATTTTATTTTGAATCTGCTCTTTCAACTCCAGAATTGTTGCTGGACGACTTGCATAAACTTTTTGCTTCAGGTATCCCCAGAGAAAAAAATCTGGGGCCGTTAAATCGGGAGATCTCGGGGGCCAATTCAAATTTCCAAATCGGGAAATTATACGGCCATCAAAAAAATCTCGCAAAATCCTCATAGTGTTTCTGGCTGTGTGAGCTGTAGCTCCATCTTGTTGGAATAATATGGCACCATTTAGTAGTCCCCGTCTAGTTAGTTCGGGGATAAGAAACGTTTGCAACATGTTTATGTAGCGCTCGGAATTAACTGTAACAGGACGGTTATTTTCATCCTCAAAAAAATAAGGACCGATAATTCCAAATGATGCTACACCACACCACACAACGACTTTTAGACTGTGGAGGTTTTTGGTAAACAGTTCGTGAGGATTTTCTGCTCCCCAGTACCTAAAGTTTTGCTTGTTAACAACACCGTCCAAATGAAAATTTGCTTCGTCGCTCATTAGCAAATTATGTATTCCTCCATGGTGCTGATTTAAAAATTCTTGACAAAATGTCAACCTCGCTTCTTTATCTGTATCACTGAGGTGATGCGCCATTTGGTATTTATAGGGGTGAAATTTTAAATCTTTATGCAGAATTCTGTGGAGACTTCCCTTGGATATTCCTAGGGCAAGTGATTGCCGATTAGCAGATCTCTTAGGGCTTCTTGTGAAGGCAGCTCTCACTCGTTCAATATTTGCAGGCGTACGCACCGTTCTTCGACGTCCAGGTTTTTTAATGTTTTGCACAGAGCCATTTTCACGCCAATGACGAACCCATGCCGAAATTGTAACGCGTGTTGGTGCATCGCCCCTATTATTATTTCCAAACTGCCGTCGAAATGCACGCCGAACTTCTTCCACTGAACCAGTTCTAATGTAGACTTCCACGGAAAACACACGCTCTTGAATTGAATAATTCATAACGCAATGAAAATTGTTAAAAAATGAAAATTAAATTAAGTTGTGACATTTGTGACTAAAACAATGAAGTGTTTACTTTTGTCGTTGCTTAGAGACAGGCGCCTACTTGTTAAAATGTGATCCTAATGGTGTAGCATCATTTGGTAATATTGGTTTGATTTGCTTCGTCGAGTAATGCGAAATTTTAAACTTAGAATTCAAAATTGCATTGAAGTCGAAGGAGGGCATTTGGAAGATATGATCTTTAAAAATTGAATTATTATTTATTTCAGTCATAAATCCCATAAAATTAGCTACATGTCAGTCCATTAAAAAGTTAATTTACTTTGATCAGAAAGTTTTTATTCGACTTTTAAACTGCATAGTCTAATATGGGGAACCCTGTGTTACCTAATCTATTATCTTATTTTGCACTTTGATTTCTAATCATAAAATTAAATAATAATCAATCGCTTTGTAGAACTTTTAAAATTAACCAAATCCAGTATCTAGTTTTGGACCATGTTCATGAATCACAGTTAAAACAAGACATTAATCTCTACAGTGATATTTTATAAGACACTAATAGACAGAGAAGTAATAAAACTTTTTATCTTAAAGTCGAGTACAAGTTTCTTTTATTTTGTTGAATTCTTTACAGCGAATATCAGAAAATTAGCACTATATACTATTAAAATTAATGCTTACTTTCTTCCTCAGATAGACCAGTCAAAACTACTTCTGTGTACTTCCCATTCTTCGGTGGTTTCTTGTCTTCAAAGGGACTAAGCATAGTCACATCGTGTCCTGCGTCAGCTAACCCTTTGCCAAAGGCATTTCCAAGAATGTAATGACTCCGTCCTACCATAGGAAACACAATCAGAATTCGCGAACATTTTGCGGCTGCGAAGAGCAAAGTAAAGGACACAATGAGTTTCATATTTATACCACCGGAGACAGAGGACAAATCGATGATAAAATAAACTGTGCCTTTATTTATTAGTCGTAATTAGATAGTATTATCAGACAGTAGTGCAATGATTATTTTAATTTGATAGTTCGTCGACAATGTCAGTGTGTTTAATATATCGAGTTTAATATTATCTAAACCAACATCACGACAGCACTCAATAAATATAAAGAGTGTACTAGAAGAAATAGTCTGCTAAAAGATTTACTACTATTTTAACGATTATTTTGCCGTTTTATTATCTAGAAATGGGATATGTAGAATACTTAACCACAGCGTATCTATTTAAACTAGCAACTCATTTTTTTTAATTACAAAATTATAGTTTACTATGTATAATTATTTTATGATTGCGATTTGACGACTTAATTTGATAACTAGATTTCTCGTCTGGATACGTTCCAAAATACATCTTGGAAGATTATCAAGCATTACTTAAACATGTGACAGAGAAAATTATAATCAATTGTTTATCATACTTGACGTCTTAGTTAACGATTTTTATGAAAAATGAAAACTTGCCTGCTTGGCTCGGCTATTGGATATATATATATANATATATATATAATCAAATTCCCTTTTACCCTTAGGTGTCGGGATTACAAATAATTTCATATAATTAATTTCCTAACTATTTATATACAAATTTTCTCCATTGCTTTTTGTCTCTTGCTATTAGCTTTGCTTCTTGCCATGACTTGCCTCTATTTTCTAATGCTTTTTCTGCTGTGCTGTCCCACGTTTCCCTTGGTCTTCCTCTCCTTCTTTTAGCTTGTATTTTAGCTTCCCATATCCTTTTAACTTGTCTGCTATTATTCATTCGTTGTGCTATTGGATTTTAACTTATAATATTGCGGGAAATCACTACTGCGGACTGCATGCCCTGACAAGTATTGAATTGTACAGCTGTGGACTAGTGTAAATCTGGCTTTGGTGTTGTGAGTTCAAACTCCGCCTAATTCTTCTATACTTCGCGGTCGAAATTATAGAGAGTGATTCATCGCTAGCTCTTGGACTAGTAAGGAGGATGAGGCGTGCGGGGATCGAAAATCGATAGGCGTGTATACGTAAAAGGCAACAAGATGTAGAAAATATGGAAAAAATATAATAAAACATAACATCTATTATTTTTAGAGGTTTTATCGAGAAAACTTCAAAAATATTTTAGTAACATTTTGTTTTTAAATTTTAAGTGTTTTCTATAAAACGATGCCCTCTTGGGCATCGATAACCCACCACCACCCGGCTTACGCCGCCGCAAAATATTGTAATGTTTACTATTAATATATTTATTTAAGTAGGTACTTACATATTTTATAATAATTATCTCACGAATATTATCACTGTCACACTTTCACTTCACTGCCACATAATCACTTCACTATTAATATATTTAAATACTTACATATCACATTATTCACATTATATATTTCACATATCACTGTTGCTATCACTATCACTAGAATCATCTTCACCCAAATGAATAATGACTGGTTCTATGAACACTTCTACCGTTGTATCAAGATCCCACATACGTTGTTCCTCTTTCTGTGCATGTCCAATACACTTACACCATGTTTCAGCAGTGACGTGATTAATAGCATCCTGTAATAATAATTTCACGTCGTTTATTTTAAAGGTGGTGTTTTTTCGTGCGATTTCATTCTTTATTTGTGCCCAAACCAACTCAATTGGGTTTAATTCACAGTGGTATGGCGGTAAACGGAGTACACGAATTCCTCGATCTTTGGCCATCTCATCCACTACATACTTAATGTATTGACCTTTTTCTCTTTGGACAATTTTTAATAATTGTACTTTTAGCATGGTTTCTGTATATTCAATATTTTTCGATTGTAACCAGTCCATAATATTTCCTTTTCTCCATGCTGATGTCGGTAACATTTCAACTCTTCTACTATGATAAGGTGCGTTATCCATCACAACAACTGCTCCTGGCTCCAGATATGATAAAACATATTCAAACCATTTTTCAAACACGTCGCTGTTCATATCTTCATGATAATCTCCCGTTTTTCGTGACTCAAATACATGCAAACCATTTTCTAAAAATCCCGTATCGCTTCCAATATGTGTTATAATCAATCTTCGTCCTTTTCCAGAAGGTGCCTTTAATCCAGTAGAAAATCCATCTAAAAATGCTTGTCTCTTACTCTTAACATTACCATCCTGCCAAACTTTTGATACAGTATGACCTTCGTTTACCCATGTTTCATCCATGTAATATATCTTCTTACCAGATGCACGAAGTTCTCTTATTTTTTCTAAGTATTCTCTTCGCCATACCACAATTTCGTCTTTTTCAACGAGCATACTATTCCGATTCCGTTTCAAATATCGAAAATTCATGTCACGCATTATTCTTCTAAGAACCTTATCAGAGAAATTAGGAATATCCTCATCTTCAGCTATTGCAGCTTGAATTTTCTTTATCGTTGGTATTTCATTTCTAAAGAAAAATCCATGAATTTTCCTACGTATGGAGTATTTCACGTCAACGTCGACTTCTATTTTCTTCCTCCCTCGTGTTTCCACTTTTTTCTTCTTTGGATTCACTTCTACACTATTTTTTATGGCACGATAAACAGTAGCAACGGATACTTTTGTCAACGAACTACACATATCAACAGCTTCACTTACACTTGTATTAGAATTTCGCGACCGAATTCCTTTATACACGTTTTTTACCATTATTAATTCCGCATCGCATAGGTTAGGGCGTTTATGAGCAACAGACCGTTTGCTACAACCGGCACTTTGATCCATTTTAATTATTATTCCTACGTTTTAAAACGTCCCGATTGTATTTTTTTAATTTATAAATTTACTATAGTCACGGAATATGCAAACCCTCGCGCGCGCTTATAGTTTGACGTTTCTAACTACGGCTAACTCGAATTCTACGTACGTCCGTTTACACCCACTAAAAAGAGCATTTCCCTATCTGTAATAAGTGCGATAGACAGAGATAGGAAATAAATCGCGTTCAGTGTAACTCAGTCTATGACTGTTATAGATCCTATCGATGTGCAAAGAGAGCGGCACATCATTTAACATAAGCAAATAATATTGAACCGTTATAAAAATTATTTTAAGTTTTATACACTTTACGGTAATAGTGTTTCTATATTATGTATGAATCACTCTCTATAATTTCGACCGCAGAGTATAATTTGTTTCCAATATTTTTATGTTCTTTTTTGCTGTACTTATAAATGCTCGAATAGTCGCTTGTTTGGATTTCACTGAACAATATCATAGTTTGGCAAATATTTGAAAAGATATTTGATACTTGGAAACACCTTTGACTTCACTAAGAATTTTGGATATTTGATTAGTCCATTTGTTGCATTAGTCCACTATTGCATTTTAAATAAACAGTACCTATCTATTTCATTTTGTTTTTAACAACCTGCAAATCGAGAACAAATCATTTTATAGGTCTAAAAAAAGTAAATCTGTAAACATTATTTAACAGAGACGATTTTATTTGACTTAAAATGATGTGCAAATCTAAATAAGTTCATAATTCGACATATCCTGATGATATGCATTTAATTGTAATTATTAACATCGGGTAATTTTAAAAAATCACGCAATCACGATATTGCTGTATCATGACGGAGGAGCAATAACCTTGAGTTACAAGTCAGTAAGAATAAACATGTTGATTCAATATTAAATACTGTATGTCTGTAAGATAAAGGCTATTAAACATCGTACACATTATTAGGCCGGCTGTCCTTTGGATGAGTTTTCGTCCGAATTATATCAGTCAGAATCACGACTAATACACACACACACAAAAAGAAAAGTTGTCTGTACTTTTCATGCGACATAATATGTTATCTGTAGTATTTTTGCCTCCTGATCACGAATCCGGTGTCAGAATTGAGCTATCACATCACAGGAATTTCCTAACCTCAAAAAACAGGTAAAAAATAGCAGAAATTCATGAAAAATTGCTCTTTTTCTGACCTCAAAAAAACAGTACAATTAAGGTCAGATATCACGAATTTTCAAACAAAAACAGATTCGCGCCAAATTTGGTATACGGGAGTTTTCTTGGTCGCTGATCACGGATCCGAGGTCAATTTTGCAAAATTCAAGATGGCGGATCCAAGATGGCCAACCAAATTTTCAAAAAACAGAATCGCAGCAAATGTGGTATACGGGGATTTTCCGTTGACTACGGACCCGAAGTCAATTTTGCAAAATTCAGGATGGTGGATAAAAATGGCCGACAAAATTTTCAAATAATAACAGAATCGCAGCAAATTTGGTATACGGAGATTTTCGGAGTCACTGATTACGTATTCGAAATTCATTTTGTAATGATTTACTTTATAACCTGAGTACCCAATCATGTGTTAACCTACTTTTTTCGGCTATATCATGTTCTTTTTTCTGTAAAAGATCTATTCACGGGTTGAATTTTGTAAATCTGATCTCGGATTCGTGATCAGTGACCTCGAAAACCCCCGTATACCAAATTTGGCGCGAATGTGTTATTTTTTGAAAATTTGGTCGGCCGCCATCTTGAATTTTGCAAAATTCACCTCGAATTTGTGATCAGCGACCCCGAAAACCCCGCTATACCAAATTTGATGCGAATCTGTTATTTTTTGAAAATTTGCTCGGCCATCTTGGATTCGCCATCTTGAATTTAGCAAAATTGACCTTGGATCCGTGATCAGCGACCCCGAAAACCCTCGTATACCAAATTCATATAAAAAAATACTTGGAAATGTTGCAGAAATTCATTTGTTCTTGCAGTGGACAGACACTATGCAGTGATGAAGAAATATGATCTTTCCTATTACAAGGCTTTAAATGTTGCGATCTGTGGCTCTTGCTCTACAAAATGTCAAAATTTAGACATACGAATCGACGATATGGAGGGACTGACGGTGAGACGTATTGAAAATTTATTGTTCATGTAATAGTTACTGTAGTTATAAAATTTTATAATTAAGTATAAATGTATTTTTTTATATGAATAAATATCTATATTTATAATATGCATTTCTTGTAACAAAATTAAATTTATTTATTTTTCATTTAAATGTGAGGTTTGCATTGGTAATCTTAGATACTATACGATATTATCATTAATTCAAAAGTATGCAGTTGCTGAATCAATAGTTTACGATCGATATTTATAGGTACTTAACGACTTAACGTAGTATTATTATTGCATTGTTAATATTGTACAGCGATGATAAAGTCTGGAACAAAATTCATAACTTTTATACTGTGATTTTTAAAAAAAACACCGAAACAGGTCGATTTGTTCTTAGGAGGGGCATCTGTTAAGATGATTCGGTTGTATACAGGGTGACCCAGAAAAGCTGGCTTCTTTTTTTCTTATGGAACACCCTGTATATTTTCTCATATTCGGATAAAGCTTTCTCTTACGAATACAGTGATGTAAGGTTTGATGGGTCTATAACGCTGTATAACAGTTAAAATACCTATATTCACATTTTTAAGAATTGTCGTTTGATGAGAATAAAACAATTTTATTTGAAGTAATAGAAAAAAAAAAACAAATAAATTACATTCACGTTTCCCCTACTTTTTAAAATTGTACGATATATACCTCTAATAACCACGAGAAATATAACAAATAAACTAACAGTACATAATAAAATAAAAAATATAACATCTAACAACAAATATTTGTACCAAGGTAAATCAACTCCAGCCACTCTTAAATGAGGTGCACTTTTATGTTTTATCACTAATTCTGTCCAATAAACTGCAAGATCCATGGGTTTAACTGGTCTATCGTGCATCAACTTAGAACGCTTTTTGGCATTATTTCGATATCTTAAAAGGAAGTGAATTTAAATGAAAAGTATTTGATATATTTGTTCTTGATACCTACCTCACATCGTTAAGGAGTTTGTCCAAAGCAGTATCAAATTTTTCCTCATCTAATTCTGATAACTTTATGGTAAGACCATAGCCATCCAACGTAGCACAAGCAGCGTTCATTTTTTGATCAGCAAAAAATGAAATTAAATATATATTAACTGTGCAAGACTAAAGTCAAAATTAAGCTAACACGGTTACAGTATGTCTTCAAAACCGAGTAAAATCTTAACAACTTGAACCATACATTCTGTTAGAAGTCAAAAACATGTTAATGTCTGTAACCCTTGACTATAAGTGTATATAGTCAAAGCTGTAACTTAGCAGACAATTGCGGACTAAATGTAATATTGAATTGTTCTAGCTTGGATACCACTCAATTACGTCTTGCAGACTTACCTAATATGTCTGATTGAGGAAACCACTTTGCCAATTTAACATTGTCAGGTTTTGCTTCAATTGTCTCTTCATCCCATTTCCACAGGATCTTTTGTTTGATTTTTCCAAAATCTCGAAGAAGGGCTTGTATTTGATTGTCAGATATCTGCGACGGTTTAATGTTTGATTCCATGCTTAAGTAAACTACTCCTTCTTTGGCACCGTCAAGGAAATCTTTCAAATCCTTTGGCAGTTCTTTTGGAGGATTAACGTGAAAACCTCCGATGTCGATCATACTCGGTACGTGGGGTACGGGTTGATTGATGCTTTCATGAGAATTTAGAAAATATATCGACGAATTATAGACAATTTCACTTAAATCTGGCGCCTCTGGAAAGTATTCGTGCATTATTTTATTCTGAGCAGAGAAGAAAACCAGATGAAGATTAACCTCATATAACAATCTAAATAACTAGTTGGTGAGTCTTTGCCAAAAAGTCATGTTGTGTGTAAAGTCAAAAATCAACTCTGGGATATAAGAAGGCGGTGAAGGATTTCCAGCAAAAAGATTAATCCATGAATTGGCACCAACTGTACATAACGAGATCAATGGAGCATTGTATTGTTGTTCTAGCACTTTCAAGGCATCGTTATTGAATTGCTCAATAACGACGACATCGAAGGTTTGGTTAGACTTCAGCAGTTTTTGAAAATTGGGGTGGGCGAATGTATTACGTGTCATTTCATTCCCTATATTGTTTATGAAAGCAATGTACCAAATAAGAATTCATTTTCTCCAAACCGAAAAGATTCATTATTACCTTGGGTTTATCTGCAAATAATAAAATTATCATAATTATTCTTTTATTTTCTTAGGTCTTTAAATGTTGTAAATGTTGTAAACGAATAGACCAGCCAAGACTACTTCTGTGTACTTCCCATTCTTCGATGCTTTCTTTTCTTCAAAAGGCCTCAGCTAGTCCTTTACCAAAGGCATTACCGATAATGTAATGACTCCGTCCTGGCGTAGGAAACACTATCAGAATTCGAGAACATTTTGTAACTACGAAATGCAAAGTCACGAATAAGATCACGATGAGTTTCATTTTCATATCATCATTGAGTGCTGACCCAAATTAAAAACTTGATGTCTGCTCCTTATTATTTATCAATATTTAATCTTATCTAGCGGAATTATTTTAATTCGACGTTTTATTAATGTTATGTAGTCAAATGTAGTAACATGAGCATACTGGATGTACGGAGAAGAATATTTTGCGGAGAAACTTCCTGACCCGATTTTGCCAAATTCAGGAGGTTATTTGATATTCCTTGAAACATTTTTTTTGGAGGGGGGCGGAGGTCTTTTATATAAAAAATCATATGTGCTCCTCTCCAGATTTATGACCATTGAAACAAGGAGAGAAGAGGTTAGTTTTACTTTTTTTCTTACATGTGGAGGACACTACAAAAATAAAACAGAAGTAACAACTCCTAATAATTTATTGAGTATTTTTTTTATATCGCAATATGGTCATTTAAAGATCGGTTTTATATAGGTCGATTTATTTAAAATAAATAAGATCTTTTCTATTTTTTTTTTTTTTTTTTTTCATTNTTCCTTGAAACATTTTTTTTTTTTTTTTGGAGGGGGTCGGAGGTTTTTTATATAAAAAATCATATGTGCTCCTCTCCAGATTTCTGACCAATGAAACATGACCAATGAAACCTGACCAATGAAACAACACCTGAAACCTGACCAACGAAACACCTGAAACACCTGAAACACCTGAAACCTGACCAATGAAACAACACGTGAAACCTGACCAATGAAACAACAACATGTGGAGGACACTACAAAAAAAACAGAAGTAACAACTCCTAATAATTTATTGAGTATTTTTTTTATATCGCAATATGGTCATTTAAAAATCGGTTTTATATAGGTCGATTTATTTAAAACAAATAAGATCTTTTCAATTTTTTTTTTTTCATTAATATAACAGTTTCTGAGCAAAAAGTGCAGATAACATTAAAACGAACAAAAAAATTCAGTCTATGTTATAAACCGAAATGAAAACTTATTAAAAATGGTAATTTCTGCATCGCGCACTCCTCTTATTGGAGGGTAGTGTGGGTTTGGACAGGTGTCTCTACTTTGGCCGGGATTGGCTCCGCTGAAAGTGGTCGGAGACGGCTCTGTGGTTCCGGCTGGAAAGTTGAGCGAAAATTTGAAATTTGTTCGGGACTTGGAATACGACAGAATAATATACTAGGCCAGTTATTTAGTATAAGTGTATTTTTCTAAGTACCTACATAAGCATCAACAAATATGTAAAATCGAAGATTTAAAACGTAAAATAAACGTAAACTAGTGAAGGTGCAGATGCCATGTTACAACCGTTTTTTAATAATAATATTTGTATAACATTTTTCTGAAAGTCTGACTTAAAAATATCGAGTTCCCTCCCTATGACAATAGTCGAAAATGAGAGTTGTCTTTCAACTTTAAAATTGATAAAGAAATTTTAAAGAAATGCAATGAAACAACAAAGGTTAAGTGTTTTAATCTGTGCTCAGTATAGAATAGATGCTGATAAAACAGATAAACTACATTAGCGAGAAATTATATTTTATCGTATAATATCAATTTATGATTTATTACAACTTAATGATTTGAACATAACTAAACATTTCTCAACAGAAGTAGGTTAGAAGATCAATCTACAGTATATAAATAAAAATTAATCTAACAGCGATGGTTTATCGATCTCACAAAGGTAATGAAGATAACTAGATAAAATTTTTCTTCTAAAATACTTTGTCGAGGATATAACTGGTTAATAATTTGTTTTAATTATTTTAAGATAATCAAGTATAAAGTCATATTAATCGATTAAGTTATATAGTAAGTACTTTCTTTATTTAAAAATGTCAAGTTTTTAGTATACAGGGTGTCCCGAAATTCATGCAACAAAATTTGGTCACAAATTCTTAAGACAAATTTAGGGGACCCGTATTTTTTACTTTTGCCAAGTGGCCCCCTCTTTCGGAGTTGCAGCCCCCTGAAGTCAGCCCCTAAGAATATTTTTTTTTATATCTCAGAACCCTGTTGTACGAGAATTACTAAATCTGGTACACAGGCGTTTTATGACATGTGGAATCTGATGGTGCTACGTTTTTTGGCGGGGAACCCCCGTAACACAATTGTTCGTGGGCCCCCTTGTCTTTGGAGCCAAAAAAATTATCAATCCACTAGAAAACCATTACATTTAGAAACTTTTTGTCCCGTTATACTTTTTTCGCAAAACGCAACGTTTTCGAGAAAAATATCAAAATGTAATCGAATGCATATTGTGATTAGTCATTTTCCTCAAAAACTACGTTTTACGAAATAAATATCAAGAGACGAAAAAGTTTCTAAGTTCTTTCTTTCTAGTTAACTAATAATTTTAAAAAAAAATCAAATTTACGACGAAATTTTTCTGATACCAAAGGCAAGGGGGCCCACGAAAGTGTCTTAAGGGGGTTTCTCGCCAAAAAGCGTAGCACTGTGAGATTCCACATTTCATAAAACCCCTGTGTACAAAATTTAGTGATTCTCGTACAACATGGTTTTGAGATATAAAAAAGACTTCTTAGGGGCAGATTTCAGGGGGCTGAACTCCGAAAGAGGAGGCCATTTGGTAAAAAGAAAAAATACGGGTCCCCTAAATTTGTGTTAAGAATCTATGACCAAATTTTGTTGCACGAATTTCGGGACACCCTGTATTATAATCAAAGTTGGTTATAAGAAGAATATTCTAAATAGCCTTCTGTTCTTTTTGCAACATTTCTTTTTTGCTGTTGGAAATTTTCAGAAAACGCAGTGGTTATGAAACGGCATTTATTTGGTACAAAAAAAAGTATAAATGTTGCATGTCTTAAGAATACTATCAACACTTGGGTATTTAAAGTTTTCTAGACTAATTATTAACTTTCACTCTTATGGTAAACTTACTAAACATGCCACTGCGTTTGCATATACTCTTCGATTGTTGTGATAAGTTTTTTTAAAACATTAGTATAAAATAATAATTTTAATGTAAAACTTATTATTATTTGTACACTATAAAAATAATAACAATGATATTTTAACAATAATAGTCACAATAAAAAAACAGCATTCACACCACAATTTCACTAATTCTTTTTTAACTTATCCTCACTCTTTCTCCTTCCACAGCATATTTTCTTAACAATAAAATAAATTAAAAATATAAAGGCAGCACTAACTAATACAATAAAGGAAATTACATCTAACAATAAATATTTGTACAATGGTAAATCCACCCCTGCTACTCTCAAATGAGGCGCCCCCTTGTGTCGTATTACAAACTCAGTCCAATAGACTGCCAGATCTATAGGCTTCATTGGCCGATCGTGCATTAATATGGACCTTTGTTTAGCATTGTCTCTATATCTGAAAAAAGAAATAGTATGATAATACACATTTTTCTTCTGAAATGTATATAGTATTACGTCATTTATAATAGGCCGTAATGTGTATTTTTAAAATATCATTACGAGACGTAATTTTCAAAACCTCCTTTCCAAGCTTTAACGCCCATCCGTTGATAACCTCAACTAAATAGATTGGTACCTTCTATACTTACTGGATATAAAAAAAGATTTCCAAAATTGGTTGATAAATAACGAAGACATTAATAGGTGAGCGGAGCACCTCTTAAAAAGCGCACAAAAAAACGAGTGGACCGACCACCAAAGCTCCAGTATAATTCGAGAAAACATAATTTAAAAATGGCGACTTTTGGTTATTTTTCGACCTTAAATCGCTCGTAGCTCGAAAACAACGCTTTTTTCGAAAAAATCACAAGAGCTAAAAAATGCTTATTTTTGCCCAAAACATATACCCAATATCTATTTTTTAATTTTCGCAATTTTGCAAGTTTTTTGTTAATAAATTACTGACCATCTATACAAAAAAATGTCATTAAGGTTTTTTGTTCGCTGCAACGTAATATAGCAATTAGAAAAGGTTCCATCCTGGCCTCTCTCCGTGGTCGGTCCACTCCTTTTTTTGTGCGTCTTTTTATAACCAAAATGTATTCAAATCAAAGTGAAAATATCCAAGCAGGCCCTGCAAGTGATAGTGATAGAAACAATTGAAAATTGTTTGTACTTAAATTGAAAGTGTGTGTTACTTTTCTAAGACAAGATAGCAAATTTGACTGAAGCCGACAAAATCGAAATGTTAATGATGACGAGGTAGACATAGAAGACGATGCACGAAGAATCCGTTATTCAATGAAACTTGCCCAAACCGTCCTACAATATCACAATCAAGGACAATTTAAATTAGAACAACCCCACACAAACCTTATGGGAAATTCCGTTCGGTCGATTTTAATGAAATTTTGGGAATAGGTTGTTTTTGCTATGAGGAACAAAAGTCTTCATGGGCCCAAAGGTCGCTAATGGACAGTTTTGAGGATATTCGATGTTAAAAGTTGATAATGCGAATGCGTGTCAAGCACGTGTTTAAATGCTTATTAGTCGCGCAAAAGCTCCACGAAGCTTCTTAAAAACCGTATAATACGTATATATTCGTCTAGATAGTGCGTATCCATTCGTTTGTGTGTGTGTGTGTGTGTGTGTGTGTGTGTGCGTGTACGTGGGCGTGCTAGTGCATGTGGATGTGCGGGTGTATGTATGTGTGTGTTAACTTAACCATTCTTCTCGATCAATTATATATTTTAGTTATTAGCGTATGATTAAAAACAATCTAATGATTGTATCCAAAGTAATACCCAAGAGAGAGTAGTCGATTTATAGCAATATATCCAAAAACATCTTCATTTACCATTACCACTCTACTTAAATGTACCATATTTCGCGGGGCGAAAGCTCGATCACGACTATGACATTGTATTTGTAGTCTGAAGGCCATTTATATTGCAACAAGCTCAACTGCTAATTACAAAATGAACACACCTGTGAAAAAATGACCAAAGCAATATCAGGAGTATAACAGCAAAATCTGCAAGTGAATGGTAATTGAACAGTAATATCGATTAAGAACTATTTGACAATAAGTCCAACGAAACTGATATTTTTCAACATTCTAAATATTTGACGTACTCATAAATAATAGTATAATATTTCTAATATCTTCACATAAAATATTCTCTGCTATCGGTATCGATAGATTACTCATAGTTGGATATCTAAACTACAATGTTAAATAAAGAAGAATATTTTTTTCTAACAGAATAAGTAGGTATATTTAAAAACACGCTATTTTTCGATATATATTTTGAAATACTGATTTAAAAACACGCGAGAAACTGTATCCTAAAGTTGTTTCGACTACTCTAACTTAGGTGTTACTCTGGAGTTACTTTGGATACAATCATACGCTAATAACTCAAATAAAATATATAATTGATCGAGAAGAATGGCTAAGTGTGCTGACCAGATTGCACGTGAATATTACGTACGCACGTATTACTATAGCATTACTCCGAGCCTCTTCGTTTATTTGTTTATGAAAAGTATACACATATACACACGCACGCATGCACACGCACACACACACAAACGAATAGATACGCACTATCTAGACGAATATATACGTATTATACAGTTTTTAAGCTTCATCGAGCTTTTACGCGACTAATAAGCATTTAAACACGTGCTTGACACGCATTCGTATTATCAACTTTTAACATCGAATATCTCGGAAACTGTCCATTAGCGAACTTTAGGCCCTTGAAGACTTTTGTTTCTCATAACAAAAACAACCTATTCCCAAAATTTCATTAAAATTTACCGAACGGAGTTTCCCATAAGGTTTGTGCGGGGTCCTTTCTGGACACATATGTGATTAGCCTTAGGCCAGATGTTAGTCGGCTGTAGATGAGGACATAATTATATGTCTTTTTAATGATGCAGGAAAATCCACATTCAACACTCGTGAAACTCTCTTCACATGGTAATATCTTTTTTTCAGATTTCTTCATAAGTTAAAATATCACAAAGTACTCTTGGTGTAGGAATTGTTCGCCGACGATTTTGATCGACGAGTCCAATTTTGTGAGATAATAGTGGAACTCTCCAATGTAAATCCTAAATTCATTAGAAATATTGTCTTTGTAGGATACTGCATATCGAAAAGGTTACGTTTTTATTGTCGATTCTTTTAAATCGCAGTGAAACATTTATATTATAATATGAGAAATGAAAATATTTTGAACTTGTTACTTATCCTTTGTACAATCAATCATTGTTTAAAAATAAGTTTAACATGTGCAATTACAAGTGTTGACTGCAAACAATGACATATGTCCTACGAAATCAATAATGCTTCATATTTTTTTCGTATTTATAAATTTTATGGTGTTGAAATCAAACAAATACTTTCTATGCGTCAAATTATTTTAACTACTCATCTTTCAAAGTTTCAACATTACTGAAAATAGTTCTTTCTTCTTTCTTTTCATAATATAAATAATCTACTTACTGGGGGTCATTTAGAAGTAAATTTAAATATTTGGTTAGTTTTTCTTCTGTAATTTCTGAAAAGGCTAAACTAAAGCCGTATCCATTCGTCTCAGCTCTTGCTGCGTTCATCTTTTGATCTCCAAAAATCGGAAGAGCTAGAATTGGGACGCCATGATAAATAGTTTCAATAGTGCTCAAAAGTCCTCCATGTGTTACGAATAGCTTGGTATTTGGATGAGCTAAAAGAACAAATATTAATTTTATTTTACTCAACAAAAGTTCTGCTTTCTTCTTAAGCATTTTAATAATTTACCTACCCAGTATATCTTGTTGAGGAAACCATTTGGACAGCCTGACATTGCTTGGTTTTCCAGGTAGAGTATCTTCGTTCCATTTCCACAGCACCTTCTGCTTAATCTTCCCCAGAGCGTTGAGAATAGCGGTCCTTTTCTCGTCACTCATTTGTGATGGTTTTATGTTCGACCCCATACTAAAATACACAACGCCTTCTTTAGCATTGTCCATAAAATCTTTCAAATCCTTCGGAAGCTCTTTAGTAGCACTCACGTGGAAGCCTCCTATATCTATCATGTTAGGTACGTGAGGAACAGGTTGGTTGATGCTCTCATGAGAATTTACGAGAACTAAAGAAGCGTTATAGTTAAGAATACTCAAATCTGGTGCATCAGGGAAGTGTTCCTTCATCATTTTGTTCTGGGCCGGAAAGAAAAACAGTTGTCGATTGAGTTCTGAAGATATGAAGAACAACCAGTTAACTAGTCTCTGTCTGAAGGTCATTTGGCTGGTATAACTCAGGAAAATCTCGGGAATATATGATGGTGGTGCAGGGTTACCAACCAAGAAATTCACCCAAGCGTTAACCGTGATGGTGCTGAACAAAATCAAGGGTGCTTTGTAGTGGTAAGCCAGCACTTTGAGAGCATCATCGTTGAACTGCTCTATGATGACCGCGTCGAAGTGTTCATTTGAATTTAGTAACTTTTTTAGGTTCGGATGTTCCAAGGTCTTACTGGTAGCTTTATTTCCGACAAAGTTCATAAATGGAATGTTAAAAAAAGGATTCATACTCTCTAAGTCGAAAAAATTAAAATTGCTATTCTCTGAAACAGAAAGTTAAGATAAATTAATATGTGGATAAATTGAATTTCATAAGGAGCAGTTTATAACTTTGACAATAACTATTCAGCAATATACCGGATGGCCCAAAGTGAATGGCCTATTAGATTATTTCAGAACCTACTTCGATTCAAATTTTGAAAATTGGCATATTTTAAGCAGCAAAAAAATGCTGTTTAATAAAATGAAACCCAAAAAAATCGTATAAGGCTTATTAGGATTTGCAATGTTGAGGGATATTGTTTTGAAATATGACCGTTCCTAGGACCTGTAAATAGAAAATATTTCAAATTCAATTTCAAAGAATAAAAAGGTTTAGCCATATCAACAATTTTCAGTACAAATAATATTTCAGTATTAACAATTTGAAGATTATGCTTTACTTAATTAAATGGTTATTTTAACGTAGTTTAAACATTTAGTAATGTTTTAAATATATATTTAATTAGCTAATAATAAAAAATATTTTGTTTAAAAACGGATTTTAAATTTATTAAAACGGGTTAGATAAATACATAATTCCCATGAATCTATTCATATTGACAACACTATTACATGATCGCTTCATAATTTAATTTTTTCAAAAAATTTTGTGTTCTATAAATATTTTTGTTCTATTTAATTGTTTGAATTCATTTCATAGGATTTCTAAACAGTTTTAGAATTTATTTGAATCAGCTAGGTTTAGCTTTAAAATAAAGTAAAAATTCAATAACTTGTTAATATCGAAAAGTAGGTACCTACAGTTACTTATCAAAATCATGTTCTATTTGTACAAAATAAACTATCAGCAGATAATAATAATTCCAAATAGATGTACTTACATTATTTTTAACGAAACTATCTCGATACATGTTTGTTGTATCTAATAATGATAAGAAATAAAGATTTCAGATAAGTAATTATGATACAGACTTCAGATAAGTAATATCAATTGCTTGTCTAGATGCAGAATTCTCAATAAATCGATATTATTATCGATCGAGGTAAATATTTATTTTTATTAATTACACAGCCACACAAAAAAAGAAAAGTTGTTTGTACTTTTCATGCGACATATGTTATCCGTAGTATTTTTGCCTCCTGATCACGAATCCGGTGTCAGAATTTAGCTATCACATCACAGGAATTTCCTAACCTCAAAAAACAGGTAAAAGATAGCAAAAATTCATGAAAAAGTGATAGGAAAAATACAAAAAATTTTTTTTCATTTATATAGTTAAGACCCCGCCGAATGTGAATTAGCGGTCAGAATTGATGGTTCTTTTTGTAACCTAAAAAAAAACGGGTCACGAATTTTCAAAAAATAACAAATTCGCGCCAAATTTGGTAGACGGGGGTTTTCGGGGTCGCTGATCACGGATACGAGGTCAATTTTGCAAAATTCAAGATGGACGACCAAATTTTCAAAAAATAACAGATTCGCATCAAATTTAGTATACGGGGGTTTTTGATCACCAATCCGAGATCAGATTTCCAAAATTCAACCCGTGAATAGATCTTTTGCAGAAAAAAGAACAAGATATAGCCGAAAAAAGCAAGTTAACACATGATTGGGTACTCAGGTTATAAAGTAAAATATTACAAAATGAATTTCGCAATTCTGACCTCCAATACGTAATCAGCAACCCCGAAAACCTCCGTATACCAAATTTGCTGCTATACTGTTATTATTTGAAAATTTGGTCGGCCATTTTGGATCAGCCAACTTGAATTTTGCAAAATTGACCTCGGATCCGTAGTCAACGACCCGGAAAACCCCCGTATACCAAATTTGCTGCGATTTTGTTATTTTTTGAAAATTTAGTCGGCCATCTTGGATCCGTCATCTTGAATTTTGCAAAATTGACCTCGGATACGTTATTAGCGACACAGAAAACCCACGTATATCAAATTTGGCGCGAATCTGTTATTGTTTGAAAATTCGTGATATCTGACCTTAATTGACCCGTTTTTTTTGAGGTTAGAAAAAGAACTATTAATTTTAACCGCAGATTCACGCGGGTTCTTAACTATATAAATAAACATTTGAATATAAAAAAAAAGTTGTATTTTTCCTATCACTTTTTCATGAATGTATGCCATTTTTTACGTTTTCTTGAGGTTAGGAAATTCCTGTGATGAGATAGCTCAATTCTGACATCGGATTCGTGATCAGATACTAATACTACAGATAACATATGTCGCATGAAAAGTACAGACAACTCTTCTTTTTTTTTGTGTGGCTGTGCTATTTATTATACAGGTAATTCAACTAGATTTGACAATGAAAATCGAGGGGAGCAGTTTAAATAACATTTTGCCTAAAAATATTACCTCACTGTGTAAAGCAGCTGTCATAATACAGGATGATCCACAAACGGTTACCAAAAATCAGGCTTTTTTCGAAAAACATAAGAGAGTAGTAATTAATGGAAAATTAAAAGACGAGTCCGGAAATATCATGATTGTTACCGTAAAGCAGTGGCGTACTATTTTATTTAGAAAGATATGACACCGATACCCTGTATCTCCACCATTGAAACATCTAAATTTTAGAAAAAGACCTCAGATTTTGGACAGTGTTTACATAAATACATGTGCCCAATTTAAAATTATTTCACTAGTTTTTAAATTATTTAAAAAAATTAAAAATATATATTTTTTTTAAGTTTAACACCCTGTATCTTTTTAACGAAACATCCTAGATAAAAACTTTATACGAAAGATACCCCTTAAAATTCGCTAGAGAATACGAGGTTTCATTTCTTGTCACCGTTTGTAAATCTTTCAAAATTTCGATGATTTTTAAGCACAATAGTTACTTGTTGCATCTTAGAAAGATGAATTTGAATTTCCTTCTTATCAAAAATCAATACCCACTCAAAAAATTAATTTAGTTACAAATTCAACAAACAAAAGTGAGATTTAGTTATACTAGAATATCCAAAATACTCGACTTCGACAGTTCGTCACTAACTAGTGCACTTGAAAATTGAAATCCATTTTTTCTGCAACAAGTATATCTCTTGTGCTTAGAAATTACTGAAAATTTGGAACATATTATTTCTATGTTATACAGTAAAGTAACACGTAGTTTTTGTGTTCGTGAAATTGTACCTGGCTTGGCGATGAAGGTCTACGTTATTTTCCGTCTAAAAATATTTTTAATTCTTTCAATTTTAAAAGCCTGTATCTCGGTAAAGAAGCAGTTTTCGAGAAAATTTTATTTAAACTACCCCTTGATTTTCATAATAGAATCTATTTGGCCTATTAGTAAATGAACACTCTGTATGCTTTTTAAAACGTAAATAAGTTAAATCTCAATACATTGCAAACGTTTTTATATAAACCGCATTCCTACTTGATTGATTTGAACTAATTCATAGACTGATAACAACAATTAATGCAATAAGAGTACCTGACTTTATTTATTATGTATTTCTCGGTTTGGAAGAGATTTTATTAAACCACGTGTCAGACAGAATATAATCAAACCACATCCAGAACATATTATTAGCTTAACTGTACATACTGTCTTTTTCTTCTAAGAATCCGGTAAGAACCACATCTCGGTAACTCCCATTCTTGGGTGGATTTCTTTCCTCGAACGAACTGATCATCGTGACGTCATGTCCTGCTTCCGCTAGCCCGCGAGCCAGTGCATTTCCTAGAATGTAGTGGCTGGATGCTGGCATAGGGAACACCACCAATATCTTGGAACATTCCGCACTGTATATCGCGATTAACAAAATTAACAACGCTGTAGGTTTCATCGCACAATGTTGAGTAGCTGAAGTCTAAATGTTCTCACATCAAACTAATCAGTGACGAGAACTAGGGATGTACCGTTCTCGATCCCAGTCGAGCGTTAGAAGAGTTCTACTCACGACCGCGTACGTCAACCTTATATTTGTCGGGAACAATTTCCGTCTGAAACGTAAAATACCAATTAGTTGCGCAACGTTATCGTCTAGAGAACTCTACCTAAAGCCCGGGATAAACGCTCCGTCATGCACATCAACTTGCTTGTGCAAATTTAAGTTGTACAATTTATCGTTGCGTTAGTGCTGATAAGTTGGCAGACTTATCAAATCTGTACAGACAATTGTTAGGCTTGAGTGAAATCAAACCTGCCAGATATTTTCGCTGTGCGTACAGACTTGTCTAGTTTTGCTAAAAATTCCACAGCTATCCTCGCAAGAAATTACATGATTTTAGGTGATTACACAAAAAATTGTAGATAATTTCAAAACTAGAAGAGATAATAATAATATTATAATAATAATAATAAAATCTCTACTCCTCATTCTAACTACGAGAATTAGCCCATAAGTCGGAAACTTGTGCGAGAGAGGAGGCGCATATTACTATTAGGCAGGCCGCATTTGCGCCCAGGAACGACTTATGTTGGTAGGCCCTAACCACCATTCAGTGCAGGAATGAGGGAAACCTGGACAACCTCATTAATTAGAGGGGTGGTCAAATCCAACGTCAAGCCAACATTCTTCCACCCTACCATACCTGCACAGAGGGTGCCAATCCTCCGTACAAGCATAGCTAATCTACGGTCTACCGGCCGCGAGAATCGAACCCGGACAGAAATTTGCACACGATTTAAGTACCGTTCGAAAGATAATAAAATTGTGTCTCATAATATAGAAAAATCCATCTAAAAAAAACTACTTATGAAGGTTCGAAGTTAACTAAACTCGGCATTAAATTTCTAGCACCCTGTATGGTGCTGTATGTTAAGCCACTTTGAAAGTATGTATGGGAAGCTTAGGGGTCTAGTTATCCCCCCTATAAATATTGTTGCTTTATCTTTCTTACTATAAAATACACATGGTTTGAAGCTAGTCACTGTTTCTCTCCATTTTTTTGAAAATAATTAAATATCTCGAAAACGGTNGGGAAACCTGGGCAACCTCATTAATTAGAGGGGTGGTCAAATCCAACGTCAAGCCAACATTTTTCCACCCTACCATACCTGCACAGAGGGTGCCAATCCTCCGTACAAGCATAGCTAATCTACGGTCTACCGGCCGCGGGAATCGAACCCGGGCAGAAATTTGCACACGATTTAAGTACTGACGCCTTAAATAGGAGATAGGTATAGAGAACCCTGATACCGTTCGAAAGAGAATAAAATTGTGTATCATAATATAGAAGAACATACAGGGTGTTCCATCTAAAAAAACCACTTATGAAGGTTCGAAGTTAACTAAACTCGGCATTAAATTTCTAGCACCCTGTATGCAATTAAGCCACTTTGAAAGTATGTATGGGAAGCTTAGGGGTCTAGTTATCCCCCCTATAAATATTGTTGCTTTATCTTTCTTACTATAAAATACACATGGTTTGAAGCTAGTCACTGTTTCTCTCCATTTTTTTGAAAATAATTAAATATCTCGAAAACGGTTAATTTTAGGAATAGGGAAACTTCATAAAAGTCCACCTAAAATAATATATAGGGTGTTACATTTAAAATAAGCAAGTTGATAGCGACTTCCTGTACAACCGTGTGTGGTAGGTGGACGCCATTATTTTAGTTGAGAAGGGCATGCCCGAAAATCCGGTATCCCAAATTTTCAAAATTCAAATCGAAGTAGTCTCTGAAATAATTCTAATGGGCTGTCACCGTGAGACACCCTTTTTTTTTATATGGATAACCAAATAAAAAATTTCAAAGTTATAATTTTCATTGCTTATCTCAGTATATTCAAAGTTTGATGAAAATGCACACGAACTATGAACTATGAACTTTTTCACTTTAGAGAAATCTTCTGTCATCTCTTTATATAAAAAATGTAGATAGGATATTATATAAATATGTGACTGAAATATACAGGGCTAGAAAATCCACATGGTTAGCCGTTACATGAGAGCGACAAAGTATATATAGTGAAGACGTTTCATAATCTGAATAGTCAGCGCCCGTTTCGGGTTAGAAGTGGGACTGACTATTCAGATTATGAAACGTCTTCAATGTAACCATCCTTGTCTATCGCACGGATTTTCATGGCTTACTTTATCGCTCTCACGTAACGGCCGATGTACCATGGGGACTTTCCGAACCTGTATATGTATTTTAATAGTTCGAAGAAATTGCGCAGCGTTGCGACTTGATGATATGATGATTGTTAAATATGATAAAAAAATCTAAAAGATTATATTTTCTAGACCATAAGTATATAATTATCTGCTTTAGAAAATATAATCTTTTAGATTTTTTATCATATTCGACAATCATCATACATATCATCGATTCGCAACGTTGTGCAATTTTCTTCGTATTGATAAAATACATATTTCACGAGTCACACTTTCTAGAATGGAATATTTTCTTTATACAATCTGCAAATGTTTAGGGAAAAAAGGAATAAAGTTCTGCCAGGTTCCATTTTAATGTTTAAATTTACAGTCCGTAATAAAATTTGAACAGGATTGTGAACATTTATATACAAGGCGTAATTAAATAAATGTAAAAAAGATGAAAATTAAGATTAAGAAATTATTCATCAAATACCTTTTAATTCTATATTTAAGGAAGAAATGTAAACTAAAATTATCTCTCTCATTTAAGAGGTTATAAATCCGCAAACAGCGTGAAGTATAAGTTTTGCTTTTGCAATTTACAGCAATCTGCAAAACAAATCTTTGACTGAGAATTTGGTGTACGCGTAGAATGTGCTAACTATCGCCAAACCGTTTGTTGACGGTCATACCGGTGGAGACCTTTCTGTGGATTGCCAATCTGGCACATTCATTAATTTCTATGATCCAAGTTATTTGATTATTTTCCCACTACTCTCTTTTACATTCAGAAACGTCCACTCTCAATTTGTGATCGCACAAAATGCAAAAATCCCGACTCCAATCATGTCAAATTTCAGTGTAAAACAACTGTCTTTGCAATGCAAAATGCACAAGTGTTAACAAATCCACAACCTCGAATATGTAATGAAAACAGTTTGCAAGGTATCAGAAGTTTACTGCAGAAACAAATCTATAATAACCAGTCGAACTTGGGTATAACATCAATTGATGGCGCTGCATTCTGTCATCTTTATTATTTGTAGTATAAACTGAAAACTGTTGATTGTCTACTTATAGGTATACCTACGTTGACTGAAATATTGTACTAAGACCAGGGATGGGTGTTTACGCGTCAACTTTAATTGTCGACATTTACGTGTAGACTTTGTGTAGACTATGTAAACAATGTATACTACGTAAATAACATAGACAATGTAGAGAATGTTGACCAGCTGTTCTGTTTAAACTCAAAATCAACTAACATTTGAAAGCTCCAAAAAATTAATTCCTGTATACTATTCACTTAAAATAAGAGCTTCAGGCCTCTAAATTTGTTGAATATATAAATGAAGAAGAGGATAGTTAGTGATAAATGATAGACAAAAAAGAAAAAAATTTTAAAATATTTGTTAATTTTCTATTATTCTCTTAACCACTAATTTATAATGTTAATTTTTATTTTGTTATACTTACTATAGTTCTAAAGATGTTTTAAACAATAAAATAATAATTTTATTTAATTTCATATCTTTATTAATTGTTGACATTGTTTACATTGTTGACATTATCTACATTGTCGACACCAAATTATGTCTACATGTAGGTGATTGCCTACGCGTAGACAATTGTATTTTCTACGTCGCGATTGTCTACCTGCCCATCCCTGACTAAGACCTTTAACTTTACAGGAAAAAATATAGTCCGACGAGTCCGACGACGTACCCGACTACAGATGTGTTAGTGTCCTCCATCTGTAGTCAGGTACAAAAAGGTAAAACCCAATGCGCTGTATATTTTGGTTTGCGTATGGACTACATAAAAGTAGATCCGTCTATTTACAGTGGCGTATCATTAGTTATCGCTCTTTAAATTGTAGAAGAAATTTAGAATATATTGTATACATTTATAAATTCTCACTGACTGGAAGAATAGTTTTTCTTGAAAGTAAAGCAATAATTATTTAAAAAAGAATGCTATTTACATAATACAAAGTAACAAACCTCTTTCCTCATTTTAGTTATTAAGTCGTGCCTCAAATTAAAAAAAATATTATATAAGGTGCATAAGGAGAAGTACAAACTTATTTGCTTATTCTGAAATCTCTCAATATAATTGAGTTTCCAAAGTAGAAAAAAAATTTATCAAAAAACAACCCCTGACTAATCTTTACGGAGGATGGATTATTTATTTTTTTATATACATATTTTTTAATTTGCAGTGTGATAAAGAATGGACCCTCTTTTATATAACTAACCATACCTACCAAATGTTTTTAACACAACTTAAAATCAGTAATTCTTTGTTGTTTGTTACATTTTTGCTGATACGTTTTTCATCAGTTCACAAACAATTTATCAACATTAAAAGAGTTAAATTTCATTCAGTACTAAAGAAAATCAGTAAAGACCTTTTTTAATTTTATTTGAACACTGAAAATTTCAATCAACGTAGAAACTGTTGGTTTTCTATCTATCTATATATCTTCTATGTTGAGTAACTTTAGTGCCATTTATCTAGACTGAACTTAGTTTTCAATCCACAGATGTCAGCACAATTTATTTCATTGCTTTAACGACTTTTTAGAAAAATTAATTAGAAATTTAGGATACAATTGCGTAATAAAAGTAAAAAAAGTAAAATAAAAAAGGAATATTAAATTTGGCACAAACACGAATGTTTTGTGAAAAACGTCAAGACTAATGTAGTTCAATTTTAATTTTTTAAAATTTTGCTAAATTTTTGGTTTAACTATTTTTGAGTTCTGACATTATGACATTTTTTAAGTATGTAACAAATGATAATAATTATAGTTGTTTTTAAATTGGAAATCATTTGCTGAATGATGTTTTTCTGAACGTGATATTCCTTCTATATGCTTAAAAATGTTTTAAGGGTTAAGTCAGCATTATAGAATTTTTAATGAGAAAATAGAAGAATTGCTATGTAATAACTCAAAAATAATTGAATATAAGAAAACAAAATCTTCCAAAAAATCAAAAAATCTGAGTCTATAAAAAAAGTTCAACGTATACAGTGTGTCCAAGATAAGGATGGGATAGCATTAGGATCTAGGAAACAGTAAGAGACACGGGGTGGCTCAAATTAGAAAAAAGTTGTGTTTTTTTATACCTAACAATAGGTATGCCCTTTAGAAAGTTTTAAAATTCGGAAAAACCCGAAATTTTGCAAAATTGTTTAGTTTTTTTCTGGCTTTGTTTGAAAACAAACATTAAAATAAACTGCATATTTACAATGCCACTTTTTTCGCTCTATCCAATGGCGTCAACATTTTTGCAATCCGACGTTTCGACTTCGAGGGGGCATCATCAAATCTAAAATCATTTTTAAATCTGAATCAGATGATATTACCATTGTAAACGCATAAAAAGGTTTTTAGCTTGTTTTAGCTATCATTTAAAATTTTTCCTGAGTACGGCTCTGAACGCTTTCAAAATATCTATTGGAGGAAGTCATAACAGTATAAAAGTCAATACCGCACAAAACATCTAACAATTTTTTTTACTACTATTAGCAATAGGTACCTACTAATTAGAAATAATAAAACATTTCATAAATTCGTATTATTTTTTTATTAGATACAACTTTTTAAATTATTGATTGACATGTATACTGCTGACTTCCTTCAATAGATATTTATAACTAAGGAAAAATTTTAAATGATAGCTAAAATGTTTTTAAATTACAATAGTAATATCATCTAATTCAGAATTAAAAATGACTTTAGATTATGTCATAAAAATAGCAGCGACGTATTTAAAAAATTAACCTGATGATGGCCCCTCGATGTCGGATTGCAAAAATGTTGATGCCATTGGATAGAGCAAAAGAAAAGTGGCAATGTAAATATGCAATGTATTTCAAAATTCGTTTTCAAATAAAGCCAGAAAAAAAAATAATTAATTTTTTTAAATATCGGGTCTTTCTAGATATTTCTGGAACTACCTGGAATTTTAAAACTTTCTAAACGGCATATTGTTAGGTATAAAAAACAACTTTTTTATAATTTGAGCCATTCCGTATCTTTTACCGTTTCCTATATCCTAATGCTATCCCATCCTTATTTTGGACACACTGTAGATATATATTTTCTTACTGTCATGAAATATATAGCACCATCTATTGTTAGCTGTCTAGTTAATTACTGGAGGTTTCAAGTTTTCTTATCCCACCAATTTGAAATACTCAGTGGTACGAACTATTAGAATCTAGATGACGACGTTTTGTTATCCCGTAATATTGAATATTTCAGATTCCATTTCGGTTGCTCCAAAGGATAAGTTTATTGTCACGGTTGCCATAGTGATTACGCGTTTCGGCTTCCGGCTTTGCATCGTAAATACAATAATTGCCATCTAATATTGTAAAATTAACCCACAGATGTTGATCTTAGAGCTACTACCTTAGATACCCGATGAAGGTCGTTAGTCTTCACTAAATTTAATTTTAGCTTTAAATAAACATAAGACTACATTTATTGTTTCATATTTTACGTATATAATAATTATCTAATTAATAATAACGCAGATATAAGATAAACAAAGTGTTGAGCGAGAAAGGGTGAAAACTGAATGAAAAAGCAGTAACGACATTAGGTAGGTATGCAAAACATTTTTCTGGTGATTTAAAATTCAATGTTGAGTCTCTCCATACCAATTTCCTTATTTTTTCATCGAATGTCAAGGTTAATGTCATTGCCATTACTTACTAATACCCCAGACATAACATTGTGACACAATATTGCGTAAGCATGCATAATATTATGAGAGAGAGAAAAATCAGATAAGTTAAAAATTTAATATCAGATAAGTATATTATTTCTTTGTCGCTAACATTTTACAATTTATCTGTACTGTAAGCTTATCATTTTATTTGTTTAGCTCTTATGTTTCCAGATCAGAGTATATATTGCAGTAACCACCCAACTATATTTAGTCCTGATCAAACTGCGGCCAGTGTTGTTAGTTAAGTGTTCGTTAGATAATATGGCGGCAAAAATATTCATGGATATGCCAGGAGGGCTAAAGATGCCCGCCATTGGGCTGGGTACTTGGCAGGTAAGCTAAACATAGTTTAATATTCTTAATATATAAAAAAATAACCGCTTACAGACCTTCAAATGGTGGTCAAGGTCGTTGGTGCGATAAACAAACAAACAAATTCGCTAATTCACTTAATCTATTTGTTAAGTTTAAATCTCATTGCAGTATTAGTGCAAATGCAAACAAATTAAATTGTTTGTAACATATTCTATGGATTTAGATCAGTTAAGTCAGTAAATTTATTTGTAAATAGGAAAACAATTCAAATTCCTTATTATGACTTTCGGTCATAATAGCATATATTTTAAAATAATAATTTATCTCCTTATTTTTTCAAGATCTTTTCAAATGCACAGTATTTTTACAATACTGAATTTAGAAAATTAAAAAATTGCAAATAGTTTAAAACGAACTGAACTAAAGGGAAAAAAATCATTTGATGAGCATTTAATAGCTTTATAAAACAGTTTATTAGTTGTGTGGATGTTTTTATGAAAAAAAATCATCTTTTTGGTTTTATAATATATTTTTTAAACATTCAGTTTGAAATAGCTTCCCCATTACCTTTAAATTAGCTTACAAAAACACAAACATCGGCATTTTCTTGAGGAAAATAAAACATATGTTCCAGTGGAATTACTACTAGCAAATTTCTAAAATAAATTTTATATTTATCTCTTTCGAAGATATTTTGACAATGTAACTAAACCTATACGATTTATGAATTTCATGTTTTTTTGCTCTATTGTAAAGGTATTGAACTGATTCAAATAAATTTAAAAAAAAATGTTTTCTTAAGGATCTTTCATAAATACAGATATTCAATTATTAGCTCTCACGTTTTTACTCTCCATTAAAGTATTAAGTTAATTCAAACAAATCCTGTCAAATGAAGTCAAACAACATTCTTTCGGAAATCTAGGTGTCCAAAAAAAACACCCAACCTCACAGACAACAGCTAACTGCTGCGGGACACAACTACTCTATGGGATACATGCCTCAACTATTATTAAAATACACCACGCTAATACTAATTAAACTTATAGTAAAAAATAACTATTCAAAATAGGTAGGTAGTAGGTGAGGTTGGATGTCTTTTGCACACCTAGACTTCTGGCACAGACGATATAGCTCCGCTCCAAACCGCTACTGGAATAGGACAGCAGTTTTAAATTTACGAATTACCGATAGAGTGCACCACCAATAGAATTTTAGGAAGAATCAAATGCAGCGGCCCGCATTTATACGTGTATCCAAGCAACATAAGTATATACAACAGTTTGGCAATGTTGTCACGCGTACTTACGGATTTATTTTGTACACTCTATTATCAATGCCTGTTTTTTGCGTTGCTGTATTTACTTAAATGTAGGTATTGATAAAAATGTTTTAAAGAATGAACGAATAGGTACCTATGTAGTCAACTTAGACGATCGGACATTCTGCAGCGGTTATTTAATCATTATTCCGTTAATTAGCTACTATTTTTTTTTGGTATTGAAATACTGCAAAAAATATATTTCCAAATAAACAAAATTCCTAATGAAATTTTAAACAGCTTGTAATATAATTTTTTTAATGTTTGATGATAAATTTATTTCATATGGATCATTTGTACGTTGCGGATTGTAGGTACAGGGCTTTTGTTTGCATTTTGACACCCACTTATAGGTTTAATAATTAAAGATAGAAAAAACTTTAAATACAAATGTACGACTTTTCCTTAACTTCTTTTGACATCAAAAATTGCTGGCATTAAATATATGCTTAAAGTGAAAAAAAATTAAAATACGTCCTTATTGAAATAACAAACAACGATTTTTATAACTAGCCTTTACAACAACATAAGGAACCTGAAACGAAATAACATTACCTACCAATTTTTACAAAATTTCAAAATGCAAGTTCTTATTTGAATTAGCTTACTACTTTTTTAATAGAGCTAATAGAAAATTTGTTCAAGGTTTTGAATACTTAATAGCATGAATATGTATTTGTCATTAATAGTTAATCACGGGGATTAAATTTCAAATACCCCGCTGTTGACTATAATAACTAAAGCCAAGGTTAATAACACTATTATTAAGTATTTATAATTTAATAAATAGCAACAACTTTGTGTATGATAACCGATGTTTTCAAGTATGACGGAGGACGACGGACAAAATACGGCTGACAGACAATTTTAAATTTATTTCTATATTATGTCAAACTAATCGATACTTCGATTGATTGCTGTGAAATAAAACAAATAGTAAACTTCCCATATTGCACACACTGCTCTGTGCATATAATTTTTTATCCACTTTTAGAGTTCCATCTGTTTCGGAAACTGTTTTGGAAATTAATAAGCTAAGACGAATCATACGTTTACTTGGGTCCATATCCAATCCATAAAGTATTCTGGTTTTCTTAACTGAAAGAATATTTCAGATGTACATTTTTAGCTCAATTGGAAATCTACAACTTCAGCAACTATAAATAATTATTTTTGGTTATCCAAATAAATAAACATACTTTTCAGTAGGTTTGATGTAGATCTTCTTATGCATATTCATAGTGTCATTTCGTTAATAAAATTAATGTTCCAATTAGTGACGATGTTTTTTTTGTTATCTCAGACAGGTATCTATAAATTAAACATCCTCTTGTTTATGTAAATGTATATCCGACCATAGCAATACGATAAGAGACCCTTTATTGTTGTTTTGATGGACATCCTCATATCGACAAGGTGCCTTCTTTTCGATAATAAAATGGATATACCAGTTATGGATATCCGTAAAATGTATTTCTCTTAACACAAATAGATATCCATAAATTTAACATGTATAGAATAACTTAATGGATATCGGAACAAAGTACGACATCATTTTATTAAATTAATATCCCAATTATGATCATATATAATATGTATTTCTTTTAACTAAAATATAAATCTATAAATTCAGTATCCCTAAAATGTATTTTTTGGTTATGTCCCACTTATATTAAAAGGACCATATTTATAACCAGATTCCATATTGCACGGATGCTTCGAAATTCTGATCCGTTAAGCTGCTGTACGATGCCGTTGTTGGTTGCTCTCGATATTCTGTATTTCCACATTTTATTTATGTGCCTCATGGAGATGCAGGTATACAACTTCACACGTCACACTGTTGTAAAATAGACATCCATCATGCTAACTTTACATTGACCATAATTCACCACTTTGACATCCACATTACTAATTCTATTCATAAATTGTACAAGAATGGATATCTCAATAAACACAAAATATGACATTTATTACCCACAAAAATGTAGATAGTAAATTATGGAATTTTTACCCTAATAAACTAGGTTGAACATTTCCATAATGAAGGTATCGCCTTAAATATATTTTGTCACTTACTCATTACTTTTTTCAGGCCACTGATGAAGCAGAGCTTGAATCAGCCCTAGACGCTGCTCTTGAAATTGGTTACCGTCACATTGATACCGCTTTCGTATATCAAAACGAAGCAGTCATTGGACGCGTGCTTCAAAAATGGTTCAAGTTTGGAAAGCTGAATCGAGAAGACCTCTTTATAACCACCAAGCTCCCAATGCCTGGCATACACCAAGACAGAGTGGAGATGTTTATGAAGAAATCACTGGAAAACCTTCAGTTGGACTACGTTGATTTGTATTTGATCCATTTCGCTGTTGGAACTAAATATGTTGAAAACCAGGCGAGGCCATCACCAGATAGTCTTCAGACTGTGCCAACTGATCATGTAGCTATTTGGAAAAAGATGGAAGAGCAAGTTGATGCTGGAAGAACCAAGACCATTGGTCTGTCAAATTTCAATGTTAAGCAAATAGACAGAATATTGAAATCCGCCAGAATCAAGCCAGCGTGTCTGCAAGTCGAACTTCATGTCTACTTGCAACAAAGGGAACTGGTAAACTTTTGCCACCAAAATGGAATCGTTGTAGTTGCATATTCTCCTCTAGGCTCTCCAGGATATAACAAATTTATAGCGCAGTTTGGAAAGGAGTAAGTATTTCACGATGTGCTCTCGTACATTGTCTTGGCACTACAATGGTTTAATTTCAGAGCGAGGAAGTTACCTGATATGCTTCATGATGAAACCATAAAGAAGATCGCCACCAAACATAAGAAATCTAACGCTCAAGTCATGTTACGGTACTTGTTACAGAGAAGTATTGTAGCTATACCAAAGAGTGTTACTCCTGCCCGACTCAAAGAGAATATAGACGTGTTCGATTTTTCTTTGGACGCTGAAGATATGAAAGCTTTGGATAATCTCGAAGTTGGAGAACAAGCTCGTGTGTGCGATTTCAAAGTATTCCCTGGGTAAGTAGTCGCACTGTTTTATCACAGCATTTCAACTAGCAATTTCGTTTCCTTGTCAACACTTTGATTTCTACATACCTACGTTTAGGTGTACTCGGACTAAGGCGATCACGGCTGTGCTAAAGTATATTTACTTGAGCAGGAAAACATATTAAATGATATTTATTGGCTATTTGTTCGTGACAACGTGCTATAACTAAAAGAGAGTTTTAAAACCAATTTAATGTAATGTTATTTGCATGATGCGTTTTCTGATGTTACATGTTACATAACTTTAACGAGCTTCTCAAATGAAAGGTTCTAAGAAAGCCGGCCGTCCTTTGGATGCGTTTTCGTCCGAACTGGATTCGGATCAGAAAACTATTCTCCAAAAGATAAATGCTGATTTGATAAAACTTGTCCTGGCGAAAATCATTCGGATGAAAATGCATCCAAATTACGGCCGGCCTAAGTATCTCAATAACTGATTGAATTACATTTACTTAAAAATGTTAGAGTATACATCCATATTGACAAAATCCTTGAAAATTATTTTTGTATCACGCTCCTTAAAAATTCATCTTCTACAGTATGTTATTTACTAAGTTAAAAATGTATAATTGTGTTTTCATATTTTTTCATATTATAATCAATACATAATCTGTATAATTCGAAAATGAGCTGTCTTGTACAGAAAATATGGTCGGAAACATGGTTTCAAAACTGCTAAATTTTTAAACACGTGTCACTGTTTATTGCTCACACAAAATTGTGGAGTGTCTCTGCAAAATTAATATTTGAACTTTTTTGCAGGTTACTGGACCACCCAGAATTCCCTTTTTCAAAATAAAAATCTTTATATACACTGAGCTCGTAAAGTTTGGAATAAATTCGATAAATCGTTATTGAAGGGTTTTGACAGGAAATCCTCGGACACGTCAACTTTAGTTTGTAAAATGTCACTTTTTTCAGCCATCGACTTTTTTTTTGTTTGGTTTGTTTTTGAGCTATGACGTCATCGGCAATTTTTTTAAATGGCAACCCATATTTTTTTCCACGGATTTCGATAGAGCACATTTTTCTGAGTACGAATATGTCAAAAACGTATGACCTTCAAGATGGAAGTTTTCGAGATA